TAACCCAGTCTTGAATCCGGAATCACAGAACTGAACCCGCACTCGGGCTGGTGCCTTTACCTAAGGAGAGGCCTCCCACGTAAAGGGAAAAAGTCTTTAAATCCTCCCACAGCCGTAACAAAACAAGTATAAAGTTTTTAGGTGCAAATTACATCCTATCCCGCTGTGGTTTAAAAACTTATATTTTAGAGCAGTTCCTAAAATTTAAATCAATATATGAAGTTGCATTGACTACATTTCAATGATAAACGGCCACTTGACTGGCAGATTCAAAACAGAATGTGTGCAGAACGTGGGCAAACCCCTTTGCCTTAAATTAGATGTCCTTCTCCCTCCCACCTCACACTTCGAGCTTAAGCAGAGCCAGAGTGTATAATTTTTCTGACAATCATACAACCATGCTGCTCTTTGCTCACAGCTTTCAAGGTGATCTAATGCAAAGTTTCAGTTTGGGTCACAACACGTGGTGGCAGAGATTGTGAAGCCAAGATTTAAACGGTCTAATTTAACAATTACAACTCTACACTTGTTCATTCAAGAAGGACCTTGCAAACACTCTACTAACAGACCATCTGCAATGCACGGCAATACCTCAAAATCTACTATGAGTTGTACAGAAGTTGACCTACTGTACAGTACATGAGGAATGAGTATGTGCATTGTTACTGGTGGTTTATTAATCACTTTGCCTTTACATCTCTCTCTCAGCATTGTTACGCCTGAGTTTCTTTTTTAAAATGTTTGATGCTGACAGGTTTGACCTAAAATGGGCACCAATCTACTGAAATGTTAAATTCCTAACAACACCTTGTTGATTAGAATTTTCATCAGTCTGCAGTCCTGAACACCATCTTCTGACAAAAGGAACAACTTCATGACTCATTAGTTTGTCTGCAGAATAAAATAAGGCATTTGGAAGAAAACTTTTAATCAAAAAGTGTTACACATTACACTGTGACACAGGTTCTGTCACATATACGAGTCTGAAAGGAGTATTAAGTGTTATTTTCAGGCTTCAAGAGTACCTTAAGTCCTAAAGTAAGTAATATATTCAGACGGTTAACAACTTTATTATTATTAACGCTGCAAACAAATGTAGGAACTGAAAACATTAAAACATTTTTAACATAAGACTGGGTCAATTGTAGGTGAAATTCCTCAGCATGAAACATGGAGAAATACAGAAATAACCATTTTGGCAAATTTTGGACTCTCGTGCCTTGTTTTTGTTCAATCCATGGCAAACTAGAAAAACTAACATTTACACTCACAGGAGCAACGCATTATCTAATGTTTCACCACTGGCTGAAACACTGCACTGATGCCTACTGAGGTGACTTTTTACACTCTTTTCTCAGGATATCGCAAGGTTAAATTAATATATACTAGGACTGAAACTATAGGATGATAATGAATCAGATATTACAGACTCCTATGGAAACATGCCAATCAATGCTGAAGTAAGAAATGTGGTTTTATCATCTTTGGGTTACTGTGCTTTGACAACTGCTCAGTTCACAAGGAATTCCACACTCATTAGGCAGTCCAGCCTTCTTTTTAATCCACAGTACATGAAACCACATTGACCACAGGTCATCAACAGATGAGACTGCATGGACCATTTTACAGGAAGTGTCAAAACTTCCCACAACATGCTGACAAAACACTTTTCAAATCCAGCTGTGTAGCACTATCAGCAACACTACTTCAAAGGTAGTGAACTGTCTCCTGTTCTCCACAGTCACAATGTGAGCAGAAACATGTGTAAGCATGTCACATTCCTTAACCCTTCACAACCTGGGAATGTAAGGAATTCCTTGTCAAGTACCTGGGGAATTTTGGGATATAAGCGGGTAGTTCATCTAAAGATACAAGACCTACTTAAATAAATATTTCTTCTCCAATACTACATTAAGTAATAATTTCCTATGATTTTCAGTATTAAGAACACATGAGATTTAAAATTATTACTTTTAAAGTAGTGCACTGCATATAAAGCACGTTAGTTAAAAAGACTAGGCTATTATAGTGTGAGAATTTGTGTTTGAAACTAAACATCTGTAATTTTATGACTTGCAAGGGGAGAGAGCAGCCTTTTTTCATGATTCCTCTTCTGTCATTTGAATTCTACTATCGTTTAAAAGCAGAAATGATCATATATCCCTGCAGCGATTATTAAAAAGCAGCCTATCAGTGAGGAGCAGGGCACACTTCTGTCATGCTGAAACCTGCTCCCATAATCTTTATCTCTAGAGGCAACAATTCTTGCATTAGAGAAACTTGCATTTCTCCACAATGCAGCATACATGTGTGTATGTACCCACACACAATGACTATCAGATTTAGTGGACTATCTGAACATCTTATCCAAATCGAACTAAGCAAGGAAAATTAAGAGAAATTAGTAGCTTATGTAAAAAAAACATATCCACTTCGTAACATGGTAGACTTGTGGATGTGTTATATTGGTTTAAAACCATTATCCTCTTGAATGGGCTTTTTTTCTCTCTCAGATGCAAACGTACATGCAGTTTTCAGTACAAGTTGAGAAAGGAAAGGCATTTGAAACCAGCTTCTCAGTTATGGGACTAGGAAAGTGTGAAACAGGAGTGAAGAGTAATGAAGAAAGACTTTTATGAAATAATTTTAATGAAGAAGAGACACACAAGATGGTCAAAGCTTTTTACAGAGAATATAGGCTGAAATAGACTGAGAAAAAAACTATGCAAACTTTAGTGGTAACTATGAAGAGGTTAAAACAACTAAAAGAGAATACAGACTTTTACAATGTCTCTAACTCCTTTTCTTAACCTGCACAGAACTCGACATACAGCTGACTTCAAGTCCAAGTCAAAACGCACCATATCAAAGGAAACCGTGAGAAGAAGTGCTTGAGAAACCATCTTGACGAGGAGGGAAAATCTGCACTTGTACACGAACAATATATTTAATGATTAAATGAGGACTAAACCCATTAGATCAGTCACCAGAGCAAAGGAGGTCACGGGTTTGGACAAATGAAGTAATGTCTGCTAGCCAGAGCTCCAAAAGGAAACAGTATGTTACAGATAAAACAAAACAAATGCTGTGCAGTACCTGCAGAGAGACACAGAGATGGCGCTAAGAAGGTCTGAGGTTTTGTCAGCACAGAATCAAGAGTTGCAATCAGAACACAATGAGGATGTGTCAGTATCAATGCATTCTCTAATGCTGTGCAATAGCTTCAACTAAGATTAGGTCTAATTAAGGTGAAGAGTTTTAGTGTAGTGCTTGTAAGCACATTACATATACTTCTTATACAGAACTAGGCAAATAAAACCCAATTGTCTCTACAAATTTTAAACACATGGCTACACAAAACCTAAATTAAAAAATAACAAAAGGTTCAGGAGCCTGCAGATGGCTCCATTGGTAAAGATACTGGCTCTGTGTGAAGCTGGTGCTCTATGATCCAGACATGAGTCTGAGTTTAGGCCATGTCACTAAGCTCTACTCTGACTGGAGATTCTTCAAGCTACGAGACTCTAAAAAGGACAGGGTTGGGATGAGTGGGCCTGGGGACTGCAGTTTCATCAGTGACTTCACTAAGTGACGTGCCTCTCCTCCAATTGCTGTTAACCTCAGGTACATCCCTGTGGAGCTTGTCATGTGCCAAAAGAAGACCAGATAATTGGGGAAGCAGATCAGAGGGGCCCATCTGTCCCTCTTCAATCTTGTGCAATTGCAAAGGAGTTATTGAGCCGAGCAAGCCAAGACACTAAAGACAGAATTTATATAATAAGAAAATAACTCACAATAGCATTTTTCTAAATCAGAACAAAACCATTTAAAACTCGGGGCTTCCGATCTTAACTCCATTGCGATTTCATTGGATGAGAATGACAGAAACCAGAGGAAAGAATGGCTTGCAAATACAGTACATGTTCTATGAAAGAGTCAGGAGTGAATGAAAATAGGAAACAGCACCCTGCTTAGATTGAGACAGTTGCATAGGTTTACGAAGTTACTATTGTTACGGAGGTTAATGGTATTTAGATGATAAACGTTTGTGGTGCAAAGAAAAAACACAAAACTACACATCATTGGTGGTGGTGTAGGGGAGTCCCCATTACCTGTAAAGCGCTTTCTGTGGAGTGTCCAGAAAAGCGCTATATAAGTGTGTTATCTATTCTATAGTTGTATATATAGACTATATGTACAGTATGTTTCATACATATAGATGCATAACATGTGATAGTACCTTTCTTTTCAGCTAGTTCTCAATCACGTCTTATAAAAAAAACATGTACTGTAAGTGCATTTGTTAAGTAAGGCATACCTTTCAGATATACAAAGCATACAAAAATATATTATCGTTTTACTGACTGAAAGGTTTGATTTAATATAATTAACATACTAATAATTATTCAGGTTGAAAATGCTATTGGGGATTATTGTTGTTAAAGCGGATTTCAAAAGGCCCACATTTTGTCGACGAAATGGAGGAAAAACATAATGGATAAAATAGTTTTAAGCTATAAAATACACGAATCTTTATAGTTACAGTGTTAATTCATTCTCAATTTTAACTTTCTAAAACAGAATAATTTGAAAAGTTCTAACTTCCCCTTTATTGTGAATTACTGTAGCTTATCAGATTTTCAGTAGTGATCCTATAACTCTGTTTCGATTTCTGACCTACAGTACAGTACTTTGGCTACTCACTCCCTCCTAAGAGACAATGTTACCTTTTCCTTGTTATATAAAGTAGTAACAAACAGGATATCTACACCAAAACTCTGTTCTCATAAAATAACTTATTATGTTAAATCCTATTTACAAAACGAGCCACCACCCCTGCCTTCGCTTAAGGTAGTTACACTGTCTCCAATCAATGCTCCGACCGATCAGCAACAACGTAAAACTCCTTAAGAAGGTGTGATTAAACCTAGGCCTCCGACTTTACACACCTACGTAGCTATTATTGCAAAGGTATGCAAAGATTTGTATTTCTCACTCACCTAAAAACACAAATGTTTTAATCATTATGCAGTTGTGTAACACGAAAACCCGAAGGGTCCCACGTAAGGAGCCTACAAACACGTCTTCTCTTCCTCCTTCTGGGTTTACTTCTCTTTTCTAGATGGGCTGTTTCCTTTTTACGTGCCCTACAGCAACATAAATATCCAGCTTCTTCTCCAAAGCCTTATTTACCCACGAAGCCCTCGATAAACGCCAGAAGAAAGGTTTATAACACAAATCCGACAAGTTGTCTGCTATTCAGCCAATGAGAAGCTTTCGTTGCTTTTCCTGCCTGCTTGCACTGCTCCCTTCAGTCCTTACGAGTTATTCATTTCAGATTTAGAATAAAAACGAAACTCAACTTGTATTCTGAGCGTTTTCCAAACTACTGCGATTTGTTTAGGGAAGTTTTGGAAATGCTTCTATACTAAAGTATATAAAGAAGTTTTAAAATATCCGGCCACATATCCTGGCAAAAAAACTAGCCCTACAGGGCAGTTTTACAGCAAAGCAAGTTGTCCTTTTGACATCGGAAGAGACTTCACATTCAAAAAAGGCAGTACAAAACTTTTAACCTTTAGCCCAACTTTGCATTTACATGAGCAAATAGGATTTGTACTCACCTCTTGTGATTTGTTCTCCCTGGTCACGTTTCCACTTTTATTGCTCCAAACAGAATAAATATCCCTTTTCTCCCCCAGCCCTCCGAGATGTTCCAACTGCTGGTAAATGTCAGATTGTGATTTTTTAGCTCCCTCCCTGCTGAGTTCAGCAGCAGTATACAAACTCCACCCAGCACAGACACAGCCCTAAGATGTGCACACGACGTCGTGATGCAAGCGGAGGGGCGGTTAAAGGGGACAAGGGGAGACCATGCTTCTCCTGCGCTTCACTGCTCTACAGATCTGTCCAGAAAATGATACAGTTGCTTTTCAGGGAGACCTGCAAGACCGAGCCTCGACATTTTGTTAACCCATGAAAGAATGGGTTTCTTCTAAAGAAACAATGGCAGAATGACAGCTACAACTTCATTAATGCTTGGTAAACTCACACCTGGGAATTTACCTCAAAATGGGAATGTTTTGTTTTAACATATACCCAAGACTATTAATTTTGAGACCACAATTGTCAACAACGTCCTAACGTTGTGCGGTTAAGATCTTTGTTTCTGATCTTCCCTCGGACAGGGAGTGGTTTTGCTTGGTTTAACAGGTTGGTGGTGGATTTTGCTATGATCTGAAAACCACCCTAGTTTACTAACTGCACCGGAATCGGGATCATGGATATGAATTAGCAAGAGCAGTGGTCCAAGTTCAGATCCCTGTATTAGGTATGTATCTCTGTTCTGGATGCCATCAACTCCATACAAGGCCAGCGTCTGAGAATAGTATAAACTTGGACTAAACAGAAAAAAATCACAAGCGTTCCAGAAGCAAGAGTGTAGCTGCACTTCAGTTGCTCATGACAGTTAAAGACTGGCTTTGCTTGGAGTGGCGAACAGTTTGAATCTCTCCAGTATTGAGTTATGAAATACATATGTACACACTAAGAAATACACTACTGCATTCTTCATATGAAATGCAGATATTGAAATTGATGTAAACAAAAATATACTGGAATATGCATATTCATTAATATTGTAAAAGATTTATTTTACTGAAATTTGGCTTTAAGCGGCACAGTGGCATACTGGTGAGAATTGCTGCCTTGCTGGGGCAGTGCTGGGGGACCTGGGTTCAATTCCTGGTGTGCTGTCTGTGAGGAGTTTGCACGTTCTCCCTGTGCTTGTGTGGGTTTTCTCCAGGTTTCCTCCCACACTCCAAATACAGTACTTGTTAGTAGGGTAATTGGCTTCTTGAAAACTTGTCCTTGGTGTGAGTGTGTGTCCTACCATTCACCCAGTGCTTCCTGGGATAGACTCTGGGCCACTGTGACTCTGAATTGGATATTGACATATTGAAAGTGTTGGTGATAGTGATATGTTTCCATATCAACCAATAAAAGCTACAGACGTTTGTGTTGAAATAAATTTGCATGCTACTGCTCATTATCTAGAAAGCATTTACAAACAAGAGACAGTTAAATCAAAATCCTTATACCCTTATTTAATACTATTTTAAATTGTAATTAAATTTGAAACATTTCAATGATTCAGTTCTGATTTGTTATAGTTTTAAGTTCTCCTTGCCTTTTAAGTAGTGTTTGAAGTGTTTACAAGGCTAGTTTCTGTTGCAGTAAGCACTACAGTCCCACCTAGAGGCCATCCAGTGCAACTAGGTTTCGTAAGGCATATTAGGAATAAAATGAAATACTATTTTGGTTTTCCAGACATTTCCAAAGCAATCTGTATTTTCATTTTATATAATTTCCCACCTCAGAATTCAACCCAACAATACAGTTGCTGCCAAGGCCATTAGTGACTGCACTGCAAATGCTCTTGAAATAAAACATCAATTGCTTAGGATGTGTCAGCTGCAACACAGTGGTTGTGAGCTTTAACTGTAGTGTACTTCTGGTTAAGACTTAGTTGCTTCAAGATGACTGGTACTGAATTAATTAAGTTTAACATCATAAACTGATAAACTGAAGACTGCCCTTCAACACTATCACATTTTCAGACAGATAAACAAGATTACCTGGATTGTGTTGTAGTGAAAGCTTACAATAAAATACATTGAAAATGTATTTTTATAATGAGAGAGGCGCCCTGGTTATATAACATAATGGTTGTTTAGGCTCCTGGTTTAAAAGCAGTATCTCTTCAACCCAACGTGTTTACTCTTATTTCTGACTAAACAGCTATTAACAGGCGATCAATGTATGATGAAAAGACAAGTCTATAAAACATTTCCTCAATAAGTGTTTTTTTTCCTAATTGTTCAGATTTGAGACAGAACACCTGAATGGAGTTCTGATATTCACAGATTAATACAGGGTCCGTACCAATGACAAATCCAATTCAGTGTTTCAAGAGTTGAAATCAAATTTGCAACGATGGCCAGAGTAGAAAATTAAAATGAATTAGACGGCGATTCCCGAACCGGCAGCTGAAGGATACACCAGAAGGCATCGGGTTTTGGAAACGCAAGGATTGGGTCAGAATGCAGAGTGGGATGCCATATGGCACAATAAATTCCTCTCCTGTAAATATTTAGCACACCAGCTAATACCTGTATGTCCTGTAATTTCCCATAAAATGTATAAAACAGCACATCAGCAGCTCCAGAAGATGACTTCTCCTGACCATCTGTCCAAGAGGCAGCAAGGTTCTATGAGGTGCCCTAAGTTTTGGGAGTGTCCTGTAACAGGGCACTTTCAGTTGTTCCTGAGGAAAAGAACTTTAAGGCAGGACCTGTGTAGCTGTGCCACTAAGCTCTCACCTGCTCAGGCTCAGTGAGGACTTGCACATTACTATCAAATTTCGGCCACAACCACTGTTATTCGCAGTTGAGTGCTTGGTGGCACAGCCACACCAGTCGTGTCAAAAAGCACTTTCATCTCACAGCTGCCAGAAATTTTGACCAGGTTTGGTGGTGTCTTGGATACCCTTAAACTGGACTTGGATACATTCATTTTCAGACATTATTCTTGTAGAAAGACTTGATTGTTTGCTGCTACAAAAACTGTGACAGTCTGATCTGATACTTTTCATCACCTTGAAAATTTATTCAATTACTCCCCTTTTTTCATGTTTTTTAAATTGTTTTTTCTAAATCAACTATTGCATCAAAATGATTAGTAAGTTATACAAAAGAGGCAAGGCATCTACTGTACGTGAGGAACCACTCGTTTGTTGACATAACATCTTAATGTTGAAGATTCATCTTCAGAAATGTTCTGAAGTATAAGTGCTAAAAAAGGCATACAGTCATTACACAGTAATTACGCTTCTTAAAAGATAAATCTTTATAGAAGCTGTCATTTTTTTTAAAAAGAGGATATCAAAAATTGACTTACTTATTTTTACAAAAACATTATTTTGCATCTTAATGTTGAATTACAATACCTAGTCCTGTTCAATTCTTTAAGTTGAAAGATTAAAATGCCAATTAAGTATGCCTTCGACGTTGAAGCTGTAGTTCTGAAAATATTATGAGCACCCTTTTTAAAAAAGTTACAACAGTTTGTAATTGACTAGCATGAAGATGTCTTCTGTAATTCCCATCGTTCCTTTTTACACCATCTTAAAGCAAACGAAACACAAGCACAAATAAGCTAACAGAGTTTATTTGCTTTCAATTTTTTTTCAAATATTCATTCTGTTGTACATACAGAAGTCCTATCACCAGAGATCACTTTATACATAGATTTTTGACAAGAACAGGACAGTTAATTAGAAAGCAATTGATTCTATATATATAAATTACAGTTAGTTACAGTGATAACTGTACATTACACACAAAAAATCTTAAACTGTAAACAGCCTCATCAGAATAACTATAGAAACAAAAGTTCTTGGCTACAAAATTAAAAAAAGAAAACACTTAATTATTATTATACATTTCTTACACGCTTACGGTAAGGTTTACAGAAATGTGAACCATTTGTAATGAGACGATGACAGTCTAGTTTCTTGCTATTAACCCTGCCTGTTCGTTTTTCCATTGTATTTTTAGTTTTTGCACTTTTGTTTGTTCCTGTTTATTGCAGGAATAATTTGGAATTAGTCTATAATAAAGAAAATTGATATTTAATCGTCTATTCCCCAAACTCCATATTTTGTTAGTTCAATGTATTTCGAACAATCAGAAACACTTTAAATATAGAAAAATATTATTCATCCAAATTCATCTAAAATTAATTTACTATCAATCATTATTTTATTGAAGAAGTCTTTCAAACAATTTCATAGGTACTTTGTCAGAAAAGTTCCAAAATGTGCCAATTCCCTTTTAATATTACAATACTCATCTCTGTGACTTTAAAGACCCAAAACACAGAAGCAGTAACAGCTTTGGCTTCAGCCTGAACCCATAGTCTTAGTTGAAAAATGAAAGCTTTGCATCCTTTTTGCACAGCCAGCAGGAAGGTGAAATGACACCTTCATCCTAACATGAATACCCTAATAATGCCAAGTTCTTTTATTTGGTTTTTGGGTATCTTTATACAGTAGATCTTTAATGGATGCAATGCAATTGGGTAGATTATAACAGATGAAAACCAAACATTCTATTCAAGCAAAAAAAAAGATTTTGTGTTTTCGAATAATAATAATACTTAAATTACCAGATACTTAGTTCTGGAGATGCTCACAAGGTCATTAACTGGGCTTTGTTTTAGCTTTCTTAAATGTTTACTAACAAGATGGCAGTAAGAACCACAGACTTTGTTTTAGTAAAAAAACAAAGAATAATACCAGCTACCTTCAAATGACTAATTGACCTAATTGACTAATGACCAATAAAGTGACTTCACTCATTTTAAAAAGCGGACATGCACAAAAATGTGAATCAACATTTTCCCCTTTTCACAATGAGACCCGTCCTGGCTTGGCAGAACTCCAATGCTGTTGCAACTCCAGAAAAAAAAAGAGAGAATTACAGATTTTGTAAGATTACAGTGTGAAGCAGATCTGAGAAAGACAAAAAATGTACTTCCCCATCTTAAAAAGGGAAATACTTTATCTTGCATAATTTAATAAAAATGAACTTTTTCTCATAGATCTTTACAAGATATTAAAACACAAAAGAAACTTCACTAACAATCAATTTCTTCCATGCAAACTTTCTTTAGTCATTCACAGCTGATGAAGACAACTTAATTGATTCACGGATGCCTTGGACTGCTATCCATCAATGGTCATGCACTGAAGATGGACATTCTTATCTGCCTGAGGTGATCATGGCTTAACCCTACTGGTGACAACATATGTCTTGAAATAATGAAAACCTTATATTTTGCTCCACAGTGTTCAATAAGCAAACGTACAGCATGTGAATATTATAAATGCTTATGACAGTAAGTTTGTATAACATGCTGACACTTAACTGCTCACAGCATGGTAGATAGCAGCACTAAAAACCAATAAGTAGTTAAAAAACACTTCCCTTTTCACTTATTGAAGCCACAGAGCCATATTTGTCTGGCTTTTCCTTCTTCTCAATTTTAGCAGCACTTTTGTAAAAGAACATAAATGCACATTTTCATAATTTCATGTGCAACTAGAATACAGTGTGCATTTAGCAGACTTCTGAAACCTTTTCCTTTAGCTGGATTTATTCCGTTTTAATGTTAGCAAATACTCACAAGCCTCAACCTTCGAATTTTCTAAGTCATGGGGGAAAAGAAAGCCCTACAAGTCCTTACTGTATATTCTCATTAATGACATCTGTAACTGCTTAAATGAACAGAGAATTTAATGTATTAAGCAGGATCTGAAGACACAGCTAAATAACACAGCTCATTGTTTTCATAATGTGTAGGAGTATTCTTTATTTTCCTTAATGCTGCCATGCCATGACTTACACACCTTAGGTGTACCTTAACATTAAACAACAAAAACAATTTTGGCATGGCTAAGGCAACCACCAGCTGAATCATCTACTTATTGTAATTAAAAAGCTTAATTATATGTACATACACATCTACTTTACAGAAAATACACTTTTGTGCAGTTGTTTCATGTAGCACAACATTGAAAGGTAGATGGGTTTCTTTAGTTCTTTCATATTTTTTGTCTTTTTGACATGGTAATCTTAAATCAGGTTTATACCTCACAGAGGTAATGTCAATGCTCTCCATTGCTAATAGCAACCATTTCAGGTCCTGTGGTAACAGCAGGAATCCGTGGTACTTTCTTAGCGGGGCTGGGTATATGCTGCAAAAGAAGAACAGAAAGCAAATGAGGACATAACACAGCTATATCATATCATCAATAGTGCACCTAAAGCTAAAACAAGTCTTGGTGGGGATCGCCTTAGATTTTCATTATAGCTGTATTTGCTGCTTGAAAGAACCATCTCTATTCAGCTCTATTCAGGTGTCAGCTCCAGGGTGCTAAAGATCTGTGCGGACCAACTGGGTTCAGTGCTGCAGTACATCTTCAACCTCAGCCTGAGATTAGAAAAGGTTCGATGCTCTGGAAGACATCTTGCCTGGTGCCAATACCCAAAAAGGGGCACCCTAACGTCTTGAATGACTACAGACCAGTGGCACTTACATCACACCTAATGAAAACTCTGTAAAGGCTTGTACTGGACCACCTCAGAACCCTGGTGAGTACAGCACTGGACCCCTTGCAGTTCGCCTACCGGTTACACCTGGGAGTGAACGATGCAGTCATCTATCTGCTACACAGAGCTAACTCTCACCTAGAAGACGCGGATTATTGTGAGAGTTATGTTCTTTGACTTCTCCAGTGCCTTTAACACCATCCATCCACCTTTACTGAGAGATAAGGGCGGCGCAGGTGGACACTCCCCTGCTGTCCTGGATTATAGACTATCTGACCTGCAGGCCACAGTATGTACGGGTAGAGCTGTGTGTCTGAACAGATTGTTAGCAGTACTGGGGCTCCACAGGGGACTGTCCTTGCTCCATTCCTGTTCACCTTTTACACCTCTGACTTCAGGTACAACTCTGAGACATGTCATCTGCAGAAGTTTTCAGATGACTCTGCAATTGTGGGGTGTATTAGAGAGGGGAGGGAGGAGGAATATAGGAGCTTGATTACCAATTTTGTGGAGTGGTGTCATCTTAACCATCTCCAGCAAGACCAAAGAAATGATCTTTGACTTTCGAAGGAATAAGTCTCCGCTGAACCCTGTTTCCATCCAGGGTGAGGACATAGAGGGCGTACATTCCTACAAGTACTTAGGGGTACACCTGGATGATAAGCTGGAGTGGTCTGGTAACACTGATGCCCTGTGCAAGAAAGGTCAGAGCCAACTCTATTTTCTTAGGAGACTCAGGTCCTTTGGTGTGTGTGGAACACTGCTACACATTTTTTATGAATCAGTGGTGGCGGCGGCCATCTTCTACGCTGTGGTGTGCTGGGGCAGTAGCATCATGACAAAAGATGCAAATAGGCTCAATAAACTCATCAAGAAGGCTGGCACTGTGTTGGGGATGAGCCTTGACCCCATGGAGGTGGTGGCTGAGAGGAGAATGGTGACCAAGCTCACAGCCATCATGAATAACACCTCTCATCCGCTTCATGGGACTGTTACTGGGCAGCTTAGCACATTTAGCAATAGACTGCTCCAGCTACGGTGTTCAAGGGAACGTTTCCGCAGGTCTTTCCTCCCGGCAGCTGTCAGGGTGTATAACGCTGCCCTAGGCTAGGACTGTTAGCCCTTCATTTGTTCCTCTATGGACAGCATGTTTACTCCATTGTACTTTTTGGACAACCAGTCTGTATAAACCTATGCACATTTTGCACATATTTTATTGTTTTTACAGTGACTATGATCAGCACATTTTGCACACACCTATGTATTTATTTTTATTTATTTTGTTTGTCTTTTGTTTTATAACTATTCTGATGTCTGTTTTGCTTGTCTTGGGCTGGGCTGCTGTAACACATCAATTTCCCTACGGGATTAATAAAGTATTATCTATCTATCTATTCCTTTAATATTTTGAAAGGTGCAGCAAAGTCGTCCTTCAGTCGTCACCTGTTGAGGGCTCAAAGATTAAATTCTTTAACTGCCCATGACAGCTCACTGTTCAGTTTCTAAGATAGTTTCTGTTTTGTAGACTCTTTGTGGCTCTCATTTGCTTTGCATTTACAAGGCACTGCTGACTGGAAGACACTGATGACCATTAATTTGGTACACCGAGTATACATCACGGGGTGCTTCCCATGACATTTTTTATTCCTTTTAATGTATATTACTAGCAATTACAATGGATGAATAATGTGAACACTTGTACATTAGTAAAAAATACTTTATGACCCATTATTAATATTGATTACGGCAATTATAAGCATGTTAATATTTTGAAATAATATAAATTTTCCATACCTCTGTAGCTGTAGTAGAATGAACCAGTCCAGCTTCCAGGGGTCCATCTTCATTCAAGGGTCGTCTAGCATACTGCCTGCGATATTTTTCATCAACTCGTGTCAGGTACCAGGTGCCAGGGAACAGATCATCCACTGAGCCCTGAGGTATGTAGTTTGCTGAAGGAGAAAGTAGAAGAAAGGAATATCCAGTTAATTGTTCTGAATTAATCTAAAATCAGTAACTTTCTGTTATCTCAACTGTTCATTAGAATACAGATACTTAAAGTCTTAAATAACAGGAAGTACTTTGTAAAGGCACACTGCACACATGCCAGGATCAAAAGAAAACTAACCCATAAACCAATTGCAAATTATAAATGCCTTATTTTAGAGTAGCTTTTAATAAAGAAAGCCTAATATAGTATTTTTGACCCAGTGAAAAACAACCATGAAATACTGGTTTTGTAATTTTTGATTGGAGAGTGGGATGATAATTTCATGACGGTAATAGCTTCATGACTCAAAAAAATTCATGACTCACGAATGTTCATCCTTTTTGACATAGCTGCTAAGTCCAGTTACAAATGAGAGGAGTCATTCTGCTCGTCTAGCCTGTTTGGTAGTTAGTCTGTAACGGATCCAGGGATCTCATTTGTTTCTTGAAAGAAACCAGGGTATCCAGCATCATGATAACATGACCAAATAGACTAATCAGTATTCCCACTGGGCTTTGAGTAAAGAAGTACCCCCTCTTCACTTCACTTCTTTTCACTTGTGCTCTCTGATTTGTGTTTCACAGTTATTGTTTAAGCAGTTCACTGGGGTTGAATTTGACAATGCCTTTGAGGGTTGTAAATACTTATAGTCATCACTGTTCAAAACCAAAAAGATGTAGTTCTTCAGTCTGTAAGTGTAGGACATTCCCTTAAGCTCCAGAATGTTTCTGATTTCTCTTCTCTGAACGGAAAAAAGCAGCAATATCTGTCCTAGAACATGGTAACCAAAATTCTAAATGAGGCCTTACTAGCCTGATTTTCAATTTTAACTTAACATCCCTTGATTGAAATGCAAATGTTTTACAAAACATCACGTTTTTACCTTTATTTACTTCCCCACATAGAGAGTAATTTAAGTCACTTAGACACACTTAAGTCTCTCTCCTAAGCAATTACTGCTGTTTACAAAAGGTGTGCAGTTTCCTAAAATCTGTTAAAATGCTTTAAGAAAAACATTAAACTAACTTGATAATACATCACACAGCAAAGAATATGTTGGAGACCTGTATATTTTCAGTGCCTTCGACTTCAAACGTAAGTGAAAAATATGTCCTGCACAGAAATGAAGCAGAATGTGTGAAGTTACAGAAATACCTAGGTGATGAGTGTCCTCTCTCAGCTTCATGTTCTCTGCAAAGACCTCTGGTGCTACTTTTTTTCTGGAGTCCAGACGGGCCTGGAGATCACACAGGCTGGCAGTCAGCTTGTCTAGCGATGAGCCTGAATGATAAACATGGAGAAGTAATCATGAGAAGTAATTTGTGCATTTTCAATAAAGACTGTTAGCAATGGAAATTTTTTAACAGTGTTAAAAAAGTAGAAATCAAGATTCAAAAGAGGATCTGTGGGGACTTCCTATTTTGGTTGGGTATCTTTCACTACTGCTGTGAAATGCACAAAAGCTGAAATTGACAACAGTAAAAAAAAATCATTGACACACAAATTTCCATCATGCACGCCTTCTTATTAACTCACCAGGCGTGGCGTCTTGAGTGACTCGTATGGAGTACAATGTAGCAGCAAAGCCCGAGCCATAGGAAAACACTCCAATCCTCTGGCCTGCTAACTGCTGAGGAGTGTGCCTGTTGAAATCAAGCCATTCCAGGTCTCATTAACAGAACTATTTTTATATTCACTGACCACCACTTGCACCTCTCATTAAAAATGTACACATTCCACTACTAAAATCCCTAGACACCTCTTTCATTCTCAGGCTTTTGTTGTTGTTTTTTTAATAAGAGGTTTAATGCTATTTGTTTCAAGAATTAAGCAATTTGTCTCTTGCCAATTTCAATAAGTTTGATAATACAGCTTACCCACCCAACCCGTCTGAAATCAAAGCTTCTATCAGAATGCTGAACAAATAAGGCCACATGATCATTTAGTTCAGTGATCCTGGTCATGAACACTGAGTTCTCAATTATTTAAAGGGGAACTGCAATGCTAATTTCATATTTCAGTATTCGAAAGAACTGATGAGTGCATTTCAAACCGCAATAAAAGTAAAATGTACATGGTAACCTGTAAAAGTCCCAATTTACATCATAAAATAGACAACATTTAGGTATGCGAAATGCCAGGATTGTGATTCAAAATGAGGCAAAAAAAAAACTTTTGGCGATGTTTGCAGCCCTATGACATTGTAAACAAGCAGGATTGTGAATACATCCAATACAAATATTGCTTTTGATCATGCTGACAAGTACTTCTTACTTTTTAACTCTGCATTCAGATAATGTTTGAAAATTTCTGTGGTGAAATGTAAGAGCACATAAGTACAAGTTGTGCAGCAGACATCGCCTTACATTAGTCATTACAAAGACTAGTGAGCAGGAAGGGCCACATCATGTCACAATTTGAAAGAACTCGAATGCGGGTCTGTGACACAATGGCGACTAACAGTACTTTCACAAGTTCACGATTTTGTGCTTAATTTAAAAATTTATTCTATAACATCAATGAATTTAGTTTGTTACCAAGATTAAATAACCAGTCTGAGGAATTGGGACTGCAGTTCCCCTTTAACTGAGACAGTTCTCCTCTCTAAATTGAGATTAGCAAGATCTTTAGACAACTTTTGAAGATGCTTATAAAACACGAAGGAATGTGGAGATTTAGGACCACAACTGAAAACAACTTCACTTGACCAATCCAATTTAATTTTTTTTAAATCCTTTCTTATAATACATAAAAGTGGATGAAGTGTACTATTTGCAGTGTCTCTTTCTATAAAAATATTGTTCAAATTTCAAATACTAGTTTTGCCTAGACATGATTACTGTGTTTTAGTAAAAAGCAAGGTTATTAATATTAATAAACGCAACTAAAAAAGGTCTGGTTCAGCATCACACATACTGCCAATACCAAATGCTAGCAGTTTAAAACCACAAAAGCAGTTAAACTGAAACTGCACATAGTAAGTATAATATCATATTGCTCCGTTCACTATTTGTGTCTGACTTATCATTAAGGATAAGAGCCTCTGTACCTGTTTTTTTTCCCACGTTGTAAAACCTTAATAAAATGATTTGAATTAAAAGCTGATTCACCTGTTTTTGTAGGTCTCAATAAGGTGCTAACTGACCACAACTAGGATCAGGATCTTAAACACAACTCCTATTATAAGCTACATAGCCGTAACACTCTCAACTCAGATGAGTTAGAAATGTAACCAGATTTTATTAAGCAAATATCTTGTGTAACCAACTGTAAGACACATTAAGAAAAAATATAATGTAAAAATTCAGGAATGTCCAATCCCACACACACCTGTTGTTTTTCATTCTAGCAAAGCTTAATTAACAAGTCGCTTCTTTGAAATATTTGAATTGATTTCAGTATTGAAAATCAGAACTGATTTTAAATGCAACGTCCTACATGTTTAAGAGCTGAATACAGTCCAACAGTTCAAATTAATCCTATTATTCAGATGTGGGGGCGGGGGGGGGTCAGATGTGTAACTGAGAGCTTGTGGTTCTTATCCTTATTTAATTTTAGGTGGTGACTAACCTTTCATTTTTATCTCTGTTACTGTTTCATCTGTATTACTTTTTTCACATTTCATAGGCCCAGCAGGTTGGTGGGGATCCCCTGGTTCAATAGATTGGAACAGAAAACCAGAGGGCACAAGTCTCTCCTGGAACAGAGAGACCAATACCCCTACTCCATTCATTTACTTTTTGAAATTCTTCACTCTGGGAACTTCACTTACTGTGCAATCACAGAGGCCAAGCAACCATAGACAGATGGTGTGTACATATTGCCATTCTGATTTGAGAGCAGGAGAGATGCCTTTGTTTTCTGTTCAAACATCTCAGCACTAGCTTTCATAAATGCCTTCTCCACGTCGCGATCAAAATACGTGTCCTCTAGCTTCACATCCCTGGATAATAAAATCAGAACAGAAAGGTTTATTTTACGCCTCTTTACTACACCTACTGGATGTATTCTGCAATTACAATAATAAAGGTATGTAGCTCTTTCTATTGAAACCGATTTGAGACAACACAATCCATCACCAGGTAGATGCTGCACATTGGTGGTGGTGGAGGGGAGTCCCTATTACCTGTAAAGCGCTTTGAGTGGAGTGTCCAGAAAAGAGCTATATAAGTGTAAGCAATTATTATTATTATCAGAACAACTCACTTTTCCAGTTCTTGAACAGACTATTTCTAACCATGTGAGAACCCCTTATTGAATCAGACTGCATGGATTCCAGTGAATCCATTGAGGATGTAACTACACATGTATAATTACGAGAACTGTGGGGGAGGATCATCATGAACAGAATGATGCTCAATTGTGTGAAAGCACATTAGACAAGGGGCCCAGCTCTTCAATAGGCACTAACCCCACAGGCACAAGGAAGTGGGTTTACTCAAGTTAAACTCTAGACCACAATTAGTCTAAAAAATAACACTTGCAAAAGTCATGCAACAGTCAAAAAGTCAAGAGGTTAACGCCAACAGGAAATTACTTTCATTCAGTCTTTATGAAAGATGCTGTGGAGACAGAAGTCTATTCGCAAAGCAGGTACAAGAAAACACTTAAGTGAAACTCCCTGCTTCCAACTGTCCTCAAGGATCACTCACGTTTGGACTGGAAGAGCAGTCATTAATGTTTTACTATAAAGTTTCTGCTTCTCATTTTTGGACTGCCATGCTATGAGTCCTATACCTCCAAGTAATATAACCATTGTGTGATATAATCTGTATAGCCTTCTGAGTGAACCCACCCAAACCTAACCAAAATTTGTAGTTGGCGGAAAGAATCCCCATCACTATGCAAGAATATGTAAGCTCTTCACACAGACATGGGCCAAACGCTGGAATCAAAACCAAGTTCTTGGAGATCTGAGATAGAAGTGCTAACCACCATGTTCTCAGGAGAATAGGAGAGCAAAACAAGTTTGTTTTTACTTAAAACTTGAGCACGATTAGGCATTTAGGTCCCAGAGAAAAAGTGAAACTTGAGTGGAACCATTCTACAGGCATTAAGGTGACATCAAAGGCAGACCCACTGAATTCCTAACATGATTAGTAAGGCTAATAAATCGTTACAAATGAGAGGATACCATTCAGACAAACCTGAAAGCCTCCATCCCACTGAAGACACCATTCTCCGTGTTGGGGTTGGGGTCACTGAGGAAGTCATTGAGCAGCAGACGAGATAAAGACTTCTGTACCAGTTTGCAGTAGGGAGAGTGAAAGGTCATAAAGCCAAAATCATCAAGACTAAAACGCTTATCAGTTCCCTCTGCAAATAAAACACCAGAAACAGAAAAAAAATTGTGTTTTGGACATTAAAACACAATGTGTTATAATGTCCACATTGTGCCCTTAAGGAGTCACAGGACAAGAAAATGTAGAAGAAAGATTCGGAGCGAATTCTTCCTTTCAGTTGCCACAGTTGACAAACTTTCAAGTCATTCTCTGTATTTAAAAGTAACTTGCAATCCTTTTTACATATTTAAAATAAACATTTTCAAAGTACATTAATCTTTTTCAAAAACAAAACATCTTTTGCTATTATAAAGCATTTGTCCTTTCAAGACTACGTTTTACAATGCATTTGCTCTGAAACAGTTCCAAATTTATTAAATAAGTACGTAGTACAGGACAAAAGAAAAATTCCTCACCTTTTTGCCACTGTGCGTGGATTTTATTGCGAAACACTTCGTAGCACCTATCTAATGCACTGATGTAGCACTGAATAGAAAGCTTGCCATCAACCACTGGATATTCTGAAACCATGTTAGGCTTGTAGAAATCATAGGCATGCTGCATGTGAGTCCCACGAATACCTAAAGAACAGATAAGGAGGAAAGGGACATTAAAAGAGACTCAGTTCCCTCCAACTAAAACAAAGATTCAACATTAAAGACTTTGAAAACTGTACCATTACCTTCATACAGAAAGGCTTGAAAGTTCTTGACAATTGTTAGTAATAATATTTAAATTAAAATTAGATCGTGGAAGCCAAGCAGTTCACATTTAAGAGATTAGGATATGATTTAAGTTTGACAATGATGAGACAAAAGATTTTTAGATCTTTATAGAAAGTACACACCAACACACCTTCACTGTCCCAAGCTGCTTTTGTACTAATTTTTATGTACATTTGAGCATAGCAAACATTTCCATGCCTGATTTTTTTTTATTACAAATGTATACACATTTTTTAAAGCAAGTATTTTTCTACAAGCCTTGAATGTTCAAACAACCATTTTATGAGTGATGCAAGGTGGATGCACAAAATTGCTAAGATAAATCATACAATTAGCTGAATGGCTTCTATGTACAGCAAGAGTAGTCTACATAACAGCAGAATAACAGGGGGTCCCAGCTTAACATCTCCACAATTTTACATCATTGACTTTTTGTGACCATAGACATAAAAATTCCCAGACTTTACATCTAAAGAGCATAACCTCCACCATACGAAGAAAATCCAGAGCGTAAAAAAAAGGCAGATGTAATGATTTTACTAGACAACATTGTTTTGCATTACATAAAAATCATTCTGAATATACTATATATATTAAAAGGTTGTCTTTTCTATGCCCCAACTTTGCATCCTCTGAAAGCAAAACGCCCCAACAAATCAGTTTAAAGAAACACCGAGAAGCATTAGCAGACTATGTTGCTGTTGCTAGATAAGATATGATAAGTAATTTTACTCTTTACTGTATTGGATGCTCTTATCATATTTACAGTATTTAATGAATCTTTATATAGTAATACTGGATATAAAAATTTTGCTGTGTGGTGCTTTTATCTTATTATGTACTGTACGTATGCGATACATGTCCCACATCTCCCACTGCTTTGTCTCTGTGTCGTATGCACGAGTTCACACACAAAATCTCTCAAACACTTAAATGAGCTCTCTCTCATTCATTGTTAATTTCCAAATTCTAAGTGTTTCTAAAATATTTCAAACGCATTCAAATTATATTTATGTGTCTAACTTAATGGGTCATCCCAGTATTCATTCTATTTACCCACAGAAAACAGGTATGTGCACTTCTGTCGACTTACATTGTCATGTCCCAGTCTCTATTACTGTTGAAATGCATTGATTCATATGTTGCACTTAACATCCTCTGGGGAATACTTACATCCTCGCAGTCCCCATTAATCCCCACTTAACATCTCTGTTTTATGGTCTCCATTAAGGATGATATATGGGGAAGTCCTGAACATCCGCTTTCTAAAGGTCACCAGGTCAGGTAGTGAATTTCAAGCAAAGACGCAACCCTGAAGACCAAGGAGTTTTCAAAACAACTTTGAGATAAAGTTGTAGAATGTCACAGATTAGGAGAAGCGTATAACCCTTTGAGTACAGTGAAATCAATCGTTAAGAAGCAGGTGTATTGTACCACCCAGACACTGCCTTGCTCAGCCTGTGATTTGGAGCTGAACAGCCAGACAAGAGGAATATTAGTTAGGGATATGACTGTGAGGCCCATGACAACTTTTAGTGGCTGAAATAGAAGAAATGACTCAGAAATACTCTAGTCACTCCACAAAAATTAGCCTGTATGACACAGTGGTAAACCCATCTCAAATGCCATGAAGTTTATAACGAAATGATATTGCAAACATACGATAAAAGATCTTGTGATCGGATGAGACAAAATTGGAATATTTCAGTCTAAATGCAAGTCAGAGCTTGAGCAAGTTTGGGAAAAAAATGGGAGTAAATTGCACCATCCTGCAGTGAGAAGTTGGTTGAAATCCAGGAAGATCTGCAGCAGTAATTGTTGCCAAAGGTCTGTTTTGTCCGATGGCTAAATATTTTTGCAATCAACATTTTAGTTTTAAATTTTTAAACATTTAACTTCTTTTATTCATACAAGTGTTCAGCTTCAGCTATCACCTTCTTGTTGCAAACATCAACTTTTAAATGGCACTACTGTATGTTTATTTTAATATTTTAATAACAAGTGTAAGAAAAATGCAGTTAGTGTGATATGTTACTTGAAACCTTTCCTATCCTGTATTAGCAATGTGTCTCATTTTGCTACAGCATCTAAACAAGGAACACTTTTCAGTAGCATATCGCACTACCTGCATTTTTCTCATACTGGCTGGCCAGTCACCTAGAATAAACTGATGTGAAACAACTTCTTAAATGTAGACATGAAAAATAACAACTGCGTGGAAGGAATCCTTTTATATATATTACACACATTTGTAATTTTGCTGCAGTTCTTGGTGACCTACCTCTCTCAAAAGCTAGTGGGGCATTAGGTCCCACAAGCATGGCTACAGCTCCAGCACCCCCTGTCGGCCGAGCACTTCCTGTGGCATAAACAGCGATGTCTCCTGCCACTACCAGCGCATAACGCCCTGCAACACGAAACAGAAGCTTAATTCCAGACTCTCATTTCTGTAGACCAAAGCAAACTTCCCATGACTTTCCACAAAGCAAGGATAAAAACGCGAATCATAACACATAACTGTTTAATAGCATTATTAACAGAATTTCCTTAAAAAGACCTTCAAGGTCAAATTTAAAGCCAAAGCACTTAGCCTTTTTAAAGTATTTTTTAAGCATTTTTCCCCAAAGGCATTCTACTTGCAGAACATTTCTACGAATTACGGGTTAAAGCACTGACAGAATCTGCACTTTAATTTTCTATTACTAAATGAATTCTGAAATCTGAACCTGAAACTATTTCAATTTCATCTCTACCTAGATAAAACAAGGTGCTTTATTCATTGTACAGCTCAATTCATGGAACAAGAAACTATCAACTTGAGGTTCAGAATTTAATTCTATGAATACAGTGCTTGCTTACCATCCCAGGAGCTAGACTCCACCCAGTTGACTGCATTAAAAAGGGCAGCTGTGCCGCCATAACAGGCATTGGTGGTGTCGATGCCTTCAACATCCGTGTTCCCAGACTCCTCAAACAGCTGCATCAGCACAGTCTTCACCGACTTGGACTTGTCAAAGATGGTCTCAGTACCCACCTCCAGTCTGCCCACACTGTCATAGGAAAGGCAGTTTCTCTCCATCAGTTGCTGGACCACAGTCAGGCACAAGGAATTGATGTCCTCACGGTCTGTGCAGAAGCCCATTTTGGCCTGACCCAGGCCAATGGTATATTTCCCGGCTGACACGCCATCAAACTGCTCCAGTTCAGCCTGGTCCACATACTGAGAGGGAAAATACACTTCCATTGCAACAATTCCCACATCCTTGGGCCAGCCAGCTTCACCGTTAGCTGGAACAGATCCAGGCATCTTGGCAGAGCTGTAGTGGGGTGGGGGGGTGGGTGTGGGTTGGGAGAGTAAAAAATTAAGCAAGTGATACACCAATTCACTTTATTTTTCTTCACTGTGGACATGACCCTGATAGTTTGCAAGCAAACTCTGAATAGGAAGCAATTGTTTCAGTACTTCACACAGGCCTTTGCTCTGGTATCAGATGGTTGTTTGACAAATCTTAAACATCTGGTCATTCTTTTCATTACTGCCAAGCCTTAGTGACTATTCAGAACATTTTTTTTAATCATAGTTTTCATAGCTTTCAGGGAAGGTTCTTTGAATGGTTCATCAAATGGTTGTGCTTTGACAACCCCGTGACAGAGTGATTCATTGCACTTAGTCCGGAATCGATCTGGCCGTTCTGCCAAATATTAAGGCTCTTACATGAGACATCTGCTTCTTGCTATAGTAACACTCATCCTTAAATTGTACAGTACCAATGCATTGACTGAAACTACTGAAAATCCAATTAACGCAGGAGATCGCAATGAATGACTGTTTTTGTTGCGAGACTCAGCTCACCACCAAAAATAAAATGAAAAGGAGGATCTATATTTATAGTGAGTATAAGAAGTGCTGACTGTTACCATGCTTTGTCTCTCACATTCACTCTTTGATGTATTATAAGCTATAGTTACCTAAACCCAATACTTCAATGAGGTGGCATACTACTGTAGTTAGTAGGCCAGAACTGTTTAAGCAGTTGCAAGAAAAAAAACACAAAACATTGCTAAACATCTAGAAATAATTATCTTGAAATAATGTTTAGTGGCTATTTAACATTTTAAGATATCTAAAGATATGTAATATAAAAATACATAGCAAAAGAAAAGACAGCTATCTTATACAATTATTTCTTTCTTAATATAAGAGTTTCAGGTTCCCCTAAAAAAATAAATTTCTGTAATCTTTGCCCTCTGGGATACAGTACCAGTCAATTGTCCAAAGTACAAGGTTTGCTTTTAAAATCAGCCGAAAACAAGCCCATCTATTGCACAAATAAAATTCCAGTAACACGCAGTTCTAAAACTAGAGTAAAGGTCGTCTCGCAATATTCAAGACGACCTTTTACCTATAAATCAAGTTTACTCTCTCGGACACACAATGACCTCTTATGGAATACTTCTGCTAACAGCTGTGCTTTCTAAACGGTGTAGACGAACTATTCAGTCGGCAGATATCGTTTGAAAAAAAGCTAAAGGTTCCGAATCGCCAATTATTTATATTGTAACTTCCCTGCATCGACACACCATGATTGAATGTCTTTAATCACACGTATCAAATTAAGCAAACTGAACTTTGTTTTCGAATGTAAAAAAAAATACTGTGCATCTATTAAACTGTTTTTTTTCCTGACCCCCACCCACGGTAAAGATTATTCTTGTTACACATTTTTCCCAGAATAATGTACCAATTCAGCATTCTTTAAAAATGCTCATAATAACGTCCGTAAAGCAATGATAAACTGTTAACGTTTCTTCTTACCTTGTGATCATATAGCAGCGATAGGACGGAATACTAACCTTCCCTAACCGAAGTCAATAAACACTCACGTTACTGACCGGAAAAATAAAAGAGCGCACCAACTTCCGCAAGAACTGACGTCAAACTTCCGCCTGATTTTCACGTCTTGGCAAACTTTGCTATAGAATATGATACAGTGTTATGCCATGGTTTAAACAATCTTAACACTGGGAAATACAAAATCTCAAAATACAGCATTTAAAGAAAAGTATTCATTTCAAACTTTTAAGGCATTACGGCTGTTCAGCAGAAATACTGTGTTTCTTTTTAATCTTTCTCCCTATTTAAACCGACTGCTGAATCTTGTATCGTTTTTCGTTCTATAAAGCTAATTGCATTATGGTACTGAGAGCATTCCTTATAATTAATGTATCCCAACGAATTATTTGCACTATTTAACTTTTTTACAGTTCGGTAGTTCAGTAGTGTGAATGTACGTTGCTTTTGACAATGGCGTCAGTTATATACAGTAGTAAAACTAAGGCGTACAGCAGATGAACAATACCGAGTTGTTACAGCTCAGATACGGAAAGCTCTTAAGTGTGAGAAGCTCATATAAAAACGTCAGTCATTTCTGAAGATGAAATGCTTCTAATTTTCAACTAGAATAAGGCAAGGGGCAAACACATTTTTATTAGAAATAGCTGATATAATAAAAATATTTTAAACAGATATATCATCGGCCAGTAGTAGTAACTAGTAAGTAAAGGCAACGCCAGAAAAGGGAGAAGTATTTAATTTTGTTGAATATGGCTGGTCACTTCACAAGGCGCAAGGGTGCCTGATTCTGGAGGCCCAATGTACAGATTTTCACTCCATCTCAGCTCTTAATTAGCTAAACCAGCTCGTTAACTGGCTGGACCAGTTTAACAGCTTCTCCCAGCCCTTCGGGTGCTGCTACTTTATTGAGACCTTGTAAACTCGCAGACATATCTCCATGGCATGAGGGTGTCCGATTTTGGTCCTGACGAGCCCCAGTCTAGCAGGCTTTATAAGACGCTATCAAATCCTCAGTTTCTAAAGGCTTGGAACTTTTTAAATGTGGACTGTTAAGCAAGAAGATGAGTAAGTTAGAAGAACAAGTAAAAGGCTTATTGCATGCTGAAAAGAGAAGAAAGGAAACACAACATTTCGGCTGTGGAGCTTTCTTGGTGTCACCCCAGCCCTCAAGAACAGAGTTCTCTTAATTAAGCAACTAATGTATTCAATTAATCAATAATTTTCTGGCATTCCCAATCTTTTGAAACATGTGACCTATAAAATTAACCAAATTGGTTAGAAAGGTCCCCTGATGGTGGCGGCACAATGGTTAGCATTGCTGCATCACAGTGTTTGGCCCTGGGTTCAGTTCAGACCTGGGAAGCTATCTGGGTTTTCTCCTGGTGCTTATGATTCCTCCCACGGTCCAAAGACATACTGGTTGATTATTTGGCTCATGGAAATATTGAACCTGGTGTGAGTGTGTGCCTGTGTCTATGTCTGTGTGCCCTGCAATGGCCTGCAGTCCTGTTCAGGGTGCACCCTGCCTTGCACCCATCACTTGCTGAATAGGCTCGGGCTCCCTGCCTACGCTGAACTGGAAGAAGTGGTTTGAAAATGGATAGGTAGATCCCTGGTGCTGGGGTTTTCATTCCAGCTGCCAGTCACATGATTGAACCCTTAAATTACCTAATGATAGGATTAACTGAAACTCTTTAATTATTCAGTCGATTGTAACATAATCATTATTTTACTTCAAACATAGCTTAAGCATTCCCGGCTTCTGGATAGATAAAACAAGAACGTGCAAAGTTCCAAATCAAGCAGCCCGTTAGTTCAAATAAGAATTCAATTACAGTAAGTAAAGAGCTTGGCTGGAATGACAGCCAGCAGGTCTTGAAAGCAGTCATTTCACAAAACCTATCACCACTCATTTTGGACTGTCTTAACTCGGTAGGTACCAGAAAGTTTACAAATCCAGAAAACCATTCATTCACGTCTGTAACAATTGAGCTTAAATTTAGAGTAATGTTTTACGCGGTTTTCTAAAAACTACAAAACTCCATTAGGATACAGACTGCATTCTGCATTACACAGTCATTGCTGTACTTGTTTTTTAAAGATAACTCGAGAAAGCAGCAGCGACTGAAGAGCTTCGCTGCTCAACTGGTCCCCCACTTTAAAGAATCGGCTTAAAACTGCATGATGCAGGGCTGTTAATATATTGGCGTTCATTGATGTCAGATTAATCTTTTTTTCTTTTTCACGATTCCTAATGCGCAAATCTTTAACTTTAAGCCAAGCTGTGTTTCTGGGTGTACGGATGGAGTTCATGATTCAGCTCCTCATTTATTACAAACCGTGAACTGATTTGTTGTACATGTCTTGTGACAAGACATAAATGTCAGTCAAGCTGGTTTCTGTCTATGTCTGTCTGCGTCATCAGAAGAATGATACTTGTAATAACATTAATACAACACGTCTACAACACATAACAGCGCCTTAACAGCAACAGGAACATTAAACACAAACACCAGAACATTGGTGGAGTTATTAACAACTGTCGAACTAAAATAAACTGACATAAAATAAACTGATTAATTTAAAGTAACATTTCAGCTTACTATTCTCCACCTAATCGAGGTTTTGCTAATGCTGCAACTCAATTTTTCATCATATCATCATATTAAGATAATTATCTGAAGCTACACTCCATGAATGTCTGGTAAGATAAAGACAGTAAAAATGATAAAATAAATAATCTCAGGTGGTTTATATAAAGTTAAAAAAACCTTTATGTCTGATAATGTCATTTTTAAATTATGTATCTTATACTATGTATATTATAAATGTATCTTATACTCACAGCTTCATTGTTTAACAAAATCAGTCTAAGATGTACTCACCTTATACAGGTATTCTTAAAAATTGCTGTAAAACTCTCGCACAGTCTTTAAAGTGTGCAGAATTTAATAGTCTCAGCACCTCTGCTATATATAAGTCAAAACAGGCAGCACTTTTGGACTGCACCCTTTTTCCTGCTTGACTGGCTGAAGACCAATCAAATCGCGGATCTTGGTAGGCTCAAACTCGCTTTCAGCCCGCCCCTTTCACTTCGCGGCCAATCACCGGCTCGGAAGGCGAGGCCCCGTGGAGCGCCGCTATGAATGGCTGAATGGTGTGAGTGAGTGACGGTATATGGTGAGAGAGCTGTAGCCAATCAGAAAGGGCGTCCGATTCCTGGCGAGGTAGTCAGAGCTGCTGTCGCTCGAATCCGCGAAGAAGCTGGGGAGGGTTTCCATGACGACGAGAGGCAGGATTTTCGAACGCATCACATCAGAGCATCTCTTCACACACCTCATGCGTCTCAAGAGTGAACTTTGTAACCAGAAAGAAAAAAAGGCCAACAAGTTTTATAATAAAATAACTTTAAGAATAAAACTAAAAGCCTCAACCGAAAAAGAAAAAGGTTTAAGCCTATGGTAAAAACCTGAACAACATACAACTCTTTTAGCTATTTCGGCATTGAAACCAATTGAAACCAGTGAAACTGTTTTGACCATTTTGATGTGCGAAAGCCCAGAAAAAACTACCCACTAGCTAGCCGTAGCTCTTGTGAACAAACTCCAGTATGTTCAAAATTCCTGAGCCATTCTAGTTAAAGTGGTCACGTTACTCCTATCCTGGAGTCCTTGAACTGGCTTCCTGTCAAGTTTCGTGTCGACTTCAAAATTCTCATGCTCACCTGTTAGACTCTGCATGGTTTGACACCTCAGTACCTGTATGAGCTACTATCGTCCTACTCCCCGCCTCACAACCTTCACTCTTCTTATCCTGGTCTCCTATCTGCCCCCCCCCCTCAAGCCTGTCTACATTCTATGGGTGACAGGGCCTTCTCCTGTTATGCTCCAAAGCTCTGAGAGTCACTTTCTCTAAACTCCTTCAAATCCAGACTCAAAACCTTCTTCTTTAAAATAAAGAAGAGCTTTACTTAACTGATTCTGATTCTTTACCCCTCTGCTCCTACTGTATTCAGTACCACCATCTACTTTCTCCTCTCATTGTGTATTCTCATTGTCCATGTCTTGTGTTTTTTATTGTTGTTGTCATTCTGTAAAGCACTTTGAGAAGCCACCTTTAATGGTGCTGTATAAAATAAAGTTTATTATTATTGTGATATTTGTCAAATTATCTAAAGTAATGGCTACACTACTGTGTGTGTAATGCGGTGCAGTGGTTAGCATTGCTACTTGCTAGTGCTGGAGTCCTGGGTTCAATTCCAGACCTGGTGTGCTATCTGTGTGGAGCTTGTATGTTCTCCCAGTGTTCATGTGGGCTTCCTCTGGGTACTCCTGTTTGCTCCCACAATTCACAGGCATACAGGAAGTGGCTAAATGGCTTCTGGGAAAACTGCCTCTGGTGTGAGTCTGTGCACTGTGATAGACTGGTGTCCCATCCAGGGAGCATCATGGGCTCCTGCTCCACCCCAACCCTCCACTGGATAAACCAGTTTAGAAAATGGAAGGATGTGTATCTTAGTCATTTGTTTTATACTCTTTCTTTACCAGCGATGGCCAACCTTTTTCCCACATCACGATCTTGGAGGTCTTACGAGTCCAATGTTAAATCATTAGCATCTAAAGACTTGGAAGTCAAGCTTTTGATCAATTCAGTCAGTGACAAACTGTGCCCCTTGATGGCTACAGATTACTGGTATTTGGATTTCCAATAGTCTTCAAAAAAACTGATTATATCATCTCCTTAAAGTTGCCACAGTGAAACTTGTATTCAGAAATGAATGACACAAGGGTGACCCAGGAAATCTACTGGAATGGGACTATCCAGGACTAGAGGGGATCCCCCTTGATCTGCAGCTTTGCACCAATGAGCCTGTAGGACAGGGGTGGGTCCCACTGATTGGCAAATGGCAAAAAATGTACTGTTCCAGTCAATTAAAGTGAGAAACAACACAAGCAGGAAAGAACAGCCCTAACAAAATCACAGCAATTGCAATGGAAATTGTAATTTCATGTAATGTTTGGCAACCCATAAAAAAATATATGTTAAAAGCAAATGATGTAGACGTTTAAATTCTTTGAACAAGCAACGGCAGCAATGGATGTGATAGCATAATGGTGGTTATCGTCACAAAACTTTATTTCCACAGATAAAACACAACATACAGCACAAACTAATGCATTTGAACAACAATAATTGAAGAGTTAGGAAACAAAGGATATAAGGAGTAAAAAACTGTGGAAAATATGAACAGTGTTATTGTTTGGGGGAAAAAAAAGTTTTCTCTGGTGCTTTTATAATGCAAAGCCAATCAAGTGATTGCATGAGAAATGTTTTCCTAAAACATGATTATTGGCTAATAATTACTAAATAATCACCAGTCCAGACAGCCCTAAGCCCTAACTGACATCAGGAATGTTTCAACCAGAATTAACTTAAATAACAAATAATGTAACTATTCTCAATGGGATAGAAAGTTTGGAATATATAATAGATAGCAACTATTATTTTGTTTGGCAGCAAAGTGTACAAAGATTTATCTTTGAATGTTCCGACAGTGTTTGCATCACAATTGTTATCTGTTGATGTAGTTCTTGCATCCACTGATTTGTTATGAAACGAAAAGACATAATTGCACCTTCAAATAACTGGTCTACCTGATTAAACTGAAAAAAACAAACAAACACTTCAGTTTCTACAATATTTCTCTTTGGAAGTGTAGTAATATATTGATATAGGACTATATATTTATATTATTCAAAACTATATAAGTAATACCCATATATTAAAAAAATAACAAAAAGAAAAGTATTGTCACTCATTAGGTAATATCTTAATTTCTTTAATTTGTTCATTTTTTAATGTTTGTTAATGTCATTTGATATTTATCTCAGCTGACACGAATCTTCTTTAAATTAGGGTGAGTTTTACCGTTTTAGATAATCCTTTAACTCTTCACATTTCAGGCAGTCACAAGATTTAACAAAAGCACTAATATAATTCTAAATCAAATGGTTTTAGGAGTGAATGCGCTTACGCTCAACCCTCATGAACAGTAGCACCTTTAAGATTAACTGTGTATTATATACATGATCAGTCCAAAAAATAGCCTTCCAGTTTAAACACGACAGTGACATATAGTACCCATGAAAAGGTAATATAGAAAATTACAATGCTTAGCAAGGTGCTTACCGTTCTCTTTGAAAATTTAAAATTATTTTGTAATAGACTATGACCATCAATCTTGTCTTGCATGAACAAAGTTCCAGTTTTGTGGTATTTGATATGAAGAACACAATAGCATGTGTACAGTATATGCTTTACGCTTGCGCAATTATGCGATCTTTTCAAACTTATCTCTAATCCTGGTTTTTGAGCCCCAGTTGAGGTCGAGTCAGTGAGAAACACACGGTAACCATAGAGGAGAGAGACCAGGGTCTTTAATATTGTAACGCAACGGGGGCTCAGGCGGGCGCCCTTGCCGCATTAGGTCGGCCCCCCACCGTCGGGGGCTCGAACCCGGGACTCCCGCGTCTCTCTGCAGCGACCCAGCCCCGTGAGCTAAAGAGAGATCTCTCCACAGCCCTGTAGCGGTGACGTCACAGTGACTGTCGGCCGTAAGCGTTACACTCTCCCCCGCTTAAATCGCCGTCCCCGGCGAAGGGCTATCCCATCCCACTCTCACACCAATGTAACGCAACGGGGGCTCAGGCGGGCGCCCTTGCCGCATCTGGTCGGCCCCATCCCGACTGGAGGCTCGAACCCGGGACTTCCGCGTCTCTGTGCAGCGACCTAGCCCCGTGAGCTAAAGAGAGACGCAGAAGTCCCGGGTTCGAGCCTCCTGTCGGGATGGGGCCGACCAGATGCGGCAAGGGCGCCCGCCTGAGCCCCCGTTGCGTTACAATATTTTCAACTTGGAAAACAAGTACTACTGTTAATGCGTTTACCTACAGTATATGTTCTCATTTATTGAACACCTTTGACTAGCCAAGTTTCATACCGGTTTCTCTTTCTCCGCCCCTTTTAATTAAACTCTTCTAATGTATAAGTATTGTTAGATCTATCAGTCTTTTCCGAACTTGATTCTATGCTTTTGAATTACGAGTCTTTCAATAAAAATAATAATTCATATAATATATTTGTCTTGTTGTTTAGTTTTAAATTAATTTAATTAAGGCGTGAAACAGTTTTGTACGGAAGCTTATTCTAGCTATTACAAACACCGTGCAAAATTCCAGTAGACGTACCATGAGGGCGCAGTACTACATTGGAACAAATACTGTACTGTAGTTCAATATAGAGTAGTAAATAGTACAAATAGGACTATCTAAGGTTTCAATTATTTTTGTAGTACCACATATCGATTGCAACATGTTGGTAGCTGAAAAATGTAACTGCTGTGTGTTAAACTGCTATTTAATATGCTTCGCACCTTCTCAAAATCTGAAGTGAAAATATCTTAAACAAGACAATTTCTCAGCCTTGAATACCAGCCTGATGCTGTAGAAAGAACATGCTTTTAAAAGATATGAAATGCAATATGAAAACAAGTTTAAAAGGATGATTTGTTATACACTATTTGGAAATAGCTGTTAGGAAGATAGGTTATTACTTTGTCTCAAAATGACAAACTCAGATTAGTAACATTTTGATTTAATTGATAAATCATGAAATGTGATGGATCTGCTATATAGCCACTCTTAAAATTTCAAAAGTATGAATACCATATATAAAGATATAGAACATATATATTTTTATTTAAAACATTTTGATTTGAAATTAGTAGCCAATTATGCCATAAGGCTTAACAGAGTACCTAAAATGTTCAGAATCAAAATTTCTAAACTTGAATATATCCTAAATACATACACAGACTCTTTTGTATTTTTTTTTATTTTGGATTTATCAGAGTACAAGTTAGTTGGTTGAAATTAGCATTACTGCCATTAAACTCGGTAGAGAAAACTGGCCTACCTTGAGCTGTGCCGCTGGTGAAACACTAATACTTTGGACCTCACACCTCATCAAGATAAACAATTTTAGTATTGTTTTTAAACAGGTAGACGCTAACTTCAATGGATGGACTCATTTTATGACTCCTTTCTTCCCCATCAGGCTTTTGGGATGTACTGTAGAGCTGTGCAATTTATGTGGAGAAGGATGTCCTCTATCAATACGTTTCAGAATCCAAGGATCTATAAGAAGTGTAAAAAGTGAATTTAGTGAATATTCCTCCTCGTATGTACAGTATTTCACCAGCATAGATTTCAGGTTTACTCTGACATCATCTGAAAATCCCATTTTACACCTAAAGACGTTTGTGGTGAAATTTAGAAAAGGGAGCAAATGGTCAGGAAGGGGGAGGTGTAATAGGGGTGTGTACCGTTCACAGTTGTTTCATTTATGTGTTTTTTTAATTACAATAGTTGTAAATATCTGTGAGCAACTCCAAAAACACTCCAATTATGTTTATTTAAAATTGCAACATTTGTACTCAACTAGAGTTGTGCCCATTGCTTGCTGGGGATAGGTTTCAGTTACCCCGCGACGCTGTACTGGATAAAGCAGTTAGAAAATGGACGGATAGATGGGTGAAAAATCTTTGGCTGCTGCCTAGTCTTTGGAAGCTGACGCATGATCTGTTGGCTCACTTGAATGTTTGTAAGATATCTGGTAAACAATACAGTACTGCACTAGCAACACACTGGTGTTCTTAATAAACAGCCACAAGGGGGAGTAGTCCTCAAAATAAAGACAATCAGCATTAAGAAAACAATGGAGTACAGAGTATGTACTGTATGTCCAAACCTAATCATAATAAATAATTCACAGAAATTCACAGTACTGTACACTGAATATACAATTTAATAGAGGACTTCTACTTTGTCCCTTTACGCAATTGATTAAGACTTCCACCACATTCTCTGCTACCTGTACCTTTGTCAACAGTTTATTAATGTTAGCTAACTTACAGATAATTTACATTTAATTAAAAACACATTGTGCAACAGCCAAAATGTAAATACATTTTAAAGGTGGTTACTGATTAACACTTGAAATAAAAAATGGCAAAATTATGTTATCGACTCTGACATCAGTATATTCACCAATTTGATGGATTAGCAGAGGCAGAAACTTGTACATTGAGGACTCTGTACAAAATATTTTGTATTCCATTAATTTACAAACATCTGTTTCTTTAGTTTTAATTTTGTATGTGAAATAAGAACATAATTAAAATACATTATCTAAGTAATTTGTAATTAAAATGTTAAAAGTACAACAATTATATTAATATATTAAATTTGAGTATTTTACATATTTTATTTTCCGATCCTATGTGTAAGTTAATTATGTCATAGCTCCAGTGATGTTTGTTTTGTTCCAGTGGATATATGTTGTACTTGTCTATATTTGCTTTGAGGTCTAATAAATACCCCTATGCAAGTGATAAGTAGAAGTGTGTTCCTGTACAAGCTGTTTATCACTCATTTGTCCCACAGAATGCCATGGATTTGGTAATCCTTTAGTCAAAAGGATATGGCACCAACACTCATTATTTGCACTGATCAATGCCTGGCAATCCAACAGTTCATCCATAACCAGAAAGCCACTTAAGGATTTTTGCAGTCCCAGACACATACAATATGATGCGGGACTACATCCTGGACTAACAAAAAGTTAGAAACACAAATAAATCCAGCCAACACATCTTTGGGCAGTGGGAGGAAGCAGGAGCACATGCCAAAAACCCATGCAAACACAGGGAGATCCCTGAGCAAGGTCCTTAACCCCAACTGCTCCAGGGGTGACCCTGCACTCTGACCCCTAGCTTCTCTCCCTGTCTGTGTGTCTCATTGAGAGCAAGTTGGGGTATGTGAAAAGACAAATTCCTAATACACTAAATCGTATATGACCAATAAAGTGATCTTATCTTACTCTACACAGAAGGATCACTAGCTTCAAATTAAAACCAGGACTATGAGGCAGCGGTACTTACTACCACATCATGGCACCATCATTCCTGGTAAAAAGAGCAGAAAATGAGAAGATCCAAAACAGCTCCCTGTTCACGGTCTGCCATTGGTGAAAGTGAAGTGAAATGACCAAAACTCCGTCGAAAAATCCGTCTACCCTTACCCACAAATTAGACTTTGAATAATTGATTAGGTCATTGTAAATTCACTACCAATCATGCAAGTACAGATTGTTTGTATATAAAACTTACCTTCAGTAAAAAGTTAAAGTTTTTTTGTGGTTCTCCCCTACACACACACATTAGCTGGCGTACCTTGGTGCAGTGCATCATGGGGAAAAAAAGCTGGTGCAAGTCAGTTGACAAGAGGCATGACTGCTGCTGCCCCTGGCTGATGCAACAGTCAGGATGAGTGCAAGAGAAGACACCCCCCACAGGAAATGTACTTCAGGGCAGCAAACAGTCGTTAAAGCAGAGGGAGACTAGGAACACCTAGCAACCTGTTACTTCTATATTCACATTCAGTGGTGCAGCAAACTTTTGCTAATGGTATTCTCAAGTATTTTGATAAGGATAGATTAATTGGACCATGTGTGTCAGGACTCACTGTATTTAGTATGTTCCCAAAACATGAAAACAAGTGCGCCCAGTACGCTTCAGACAGACCCCACAAGGTGCCAACTACAAAATTTGGAGCATTTAATAGGATTTTAGGGGGCAAAATTTATATTATCCAAAATATTGCACCAAGATATACCTTCATCTACAACATTTAATTCCTTCTGGTACATAGTAACCATTGCTAAGTGTTAATATGAAGCCCTCAATTAAAAAGACACAGGAAGCCAGTACATCTACTTCACCATGAAGGTCAAACAGAGCATGAACTGACAACCTCAGCCCCCAGGGGGTAGGCAATAGCTGCAGAATGGAGATTTAAAATAGGCACATAAAAGGAGGCACAGAAATTTGTATTGTGATTGTTCTGGAATGTAGGAAGTCTGTCCTCTTAAAAAAAAAAACCATCTACAAGACTGGATCCCTTTTTTTCCCCCAATATCAAAAAGAATGACAACTTATGAATATGGAAAATAAAACACAATGCCTTGTTCTCTGCGATTTTGGAATCTTTCCACTAAATTCCAAGCTATAGTTATTGAGACCAAAATGCAACCTAAAATAATTACATAAATCTATACCCAGATCTATACCATGTCTCTAGCAAGAAACCGAGAGATTACAAATGTCAGCAAGAAAGCATATTTAAATTATGGATATACAAGTTTGAAAAGAAAGCATTGTTTAATTTAAAAATGCTGCAAAAGTTGTTTGCTTTTTGACTCGTTACATTTTCGAAAAAATACTAAACAAACAAATTACCAATTAAGATTAATTACTTTGTGGACAAGCATGCCTAAGATCTTGCAAAGACTCCTTAATGCTTTTCATGATGTCTGAGCACAACAATTAAGAGCACAGAACAACTGCTTGCTGTTTTTAGAACGAATTCTGTAAATACAGATACTGCATTTGTGATTTCAATTATGTACAATAACAAACACACAAGTGTCAGAGGCCATTTTCAGAGGCCAAGAGGCAATTTTTAATGATTCTTACCTGTAGATAATACTGTACTTATTTTAGTTGCTGCATCAAGAAAAATATAGGCTCCTTTGTTAAGATTAACAAGCAAAGCCAAGCTACTGTTGAACTTCTAACTGTTGATAATCTCTGGTGATCAAACAATAAAAATGGCCTTTAAACATCAGCATGATAATGGTCTTAAACTGTAGTGTATTAAAACCTAAAGGCTTGCTGAATATTAGGAATATTTCAATATTACTCGCAACTTACAAGAGTCCTTTTAGCATCCCTAGTTTTCCTTAAATGTGCAGGATATTGTGAAAGTATCAAGCTACCACAGTGCCGGCCTGTGATATCATAGCCTCCAATCATTACACAGAACTGATGGGCTACTGATAGTAAAGATCAAAGTCCTGAGGGTGTTTAACACTGAAGTACAGAACCAATCCTTGGGAAACAAAGGCATGACACAAACGTTTGTCCAAAATCTTTTATTTACTATAAAGACATACACCAAAATAAAGTTCAAATTATGCTATAAAATGCTTCAAATGGGGTAAAAACTTCATAATAATTAAAATATCTTGATATACTTAAAATTACAAAGGATACATTTAAGCCAATTTTTTTCTTAACCCAGAGATTTCTTGCTTGCACAGTAAGGTGCTAATAGACGTTAGCCCTTAAGCCCTGGAAATCTTCAGAAAAATAGTCACATAGCATATATATTGTGAAAGTGAACTTTGGTAGAAGAAAATCTATAGGACACCTGAGGTAGTAGAGACTGGAATAAAACAGCAATAGACGTTATTTACAAATAAAGAAAGTACCAAGTAATACAGAAACAGCACAAATAATAATTATACATGAAAATTTCAGTCCAGCTCCGATCCAAAAAGCAAATAAGATCACATCGCATCTTCATTGAAAATAAAAAAAATATCACATAGACCAGCAAATTGAGGGAAACAAGCAGACACAAAGAGAAGTCAAAGGCAACATGATTTAAAATAATCACAGGCATAAAAATGAAGTAATACTGATTAGCTGAGGTTCATCAGTTTTAAGAATCTGCCAGAAATAACATTTTTCCAGTATATAAAAATGGCGAGAGTGCATAAATTTAAAGCTCATACAGAAAGATTTTAAGATAAAACGATTACCCAAAGCAAAAAAAAAAAAAACAAAAACTTCAGTATTTTGAAAATAGTTGTACAAAAGAACAGGTCAAGTACAATAAGTTTAGCTACCAAACTTCACATTTACATTTTAACTCTTCAAGCTTTGTCAGCTTGTTCTCAACATACAGAAATAGAAATTTGCATAAAACTTTCAATTTTCTATAGAAAATTGTGACTTTGCTTTTCAATTATATAAAATATATTATTGCCCCCTTAATTTCACTAGAGGTTCCAAAAACAAAACCAATGAAGTACTCACTTTTGTGTTCTCAATGAAAACCGATCAAGCACCATTAGATTTTTTCCCTAAACAGATTACAATTAGAACAATACTTGAAGAGTTAAACTTTAGACAAAATGATTTAGGAACATGCTCTATATCCTAGCAATGTATGCTAAAAAATGTCAATGAAAAGATGTCAAAAAAGTATTGTAATTTACTTCAAATACTGTACCCAGCAATTTCTTTGCCAAAAAGTTTTTTTTTCCCCAATAATGTGGCATTGTTTTCAGCGAAGCACTGAAACCACACTATATGAACAATGTTTTGGTGAAATACTGAACTATTTCTAAACACATTGGGCTGATGTTTCTTAAAGGGTGTGAAATGGTCAATAGCAATCAACATTAAACTAAAGTAGTAGTATACTCAGGAGAAACAGCACCAAAGTAAAATGACATGTATTTTAACAGTAGGAAGAGTATCTGATTTAAACTATTATGTTAAAGATTGCTTTCATAAACGTTTAAAATGACATCTAAATAAGTCAATTGTTAACTCGACAAGGCTCAAATGTAACAGTGAGATCTATAAAAACAGCAGGATGATTACTGCAACCTGACTTAAAAATCCTAGCCTCAAACTCCAAATTACATAAAACGGTCTCAAGTTCAAAGGCTAGCTTTGATAAACAGGATCCAAGTAACACTCAAAAGTATAAATGCATTTTTTATATTATGTATTCATACATACAAAAAAAGGGATTTGTTCTATATAAACCTCCAGACAGTAAAGAACATCTTTGAAACTTTGTCTTTCACATTCAGCATTCTTAAAGAGCACGTATCTCAGAATACCCCATCCCTGAAAAAATTCCATTTACAAAACCAGGTGTAATAGCCAAAACAGTAAAACGCACAACTCGACTATGTATATGATCACATTTAAAATAAGTGGTATACATAAAACCAGATGATTTTAACACTAAAAAGAACCATTTAAGGCCTTATTTCCTAAAAATGCAACAAATAAAAGGATGGACAGTGATGTACTCTGAACTGTACGAAAGAACATTATACCCTACACGTCTGAACAATGTTCTGCAAGCACTATATTCCAATGTCAAATGTATGCAAACGTTCTCGATCAGGGTTCAACATTTGAAAGATTTAGACCTCAGATTTATTAATATGGCTGCAAAAGTGCTCTAAACTAAAAAGGTTTGCCAAGGAATTGCCCTTACAGAATGTATTTTCTTTTGATTACAAAAAAGGCTTCGGCCTAAGATAAACGCTGGTCAGCAAAGACCAATGTCACCCTCCTAAAAGTCTCTCTCGAACAGGTCTCGCAGCTTATTCGAGCTAAGTTACAGCAGTTTCTGGCCGTCACGCAAGGGGCCCGTTGGGGCCCCCGCATCCATCGCTGATTTTAAGGCTCATACGGCGCTTGGAAGCACCCCAAGGCCACAGTCTGGCATTCCTTGCCTTCAGTAGTATTTTGGCGCGGAGGCTGCTCTTCGCCTGGGCCCGTCCCTCTACCAGCTGAGGCGGAAGACGGGGTGCTTGAGCAGCTCCCGCGAGGGAGGCCGGTCTGCCGGCTGCAGCTCCAGACACCGCAGGGTCACGTCCCGCAGCCCCGGGGTCAGGTGGGCTGGAATCGTCGGCGCACACGTGGCGCTGGCAATCTGGCCGCAACAGAAAGATAATAAAGAAGCACATTCCACCATTAGGGAGGTTACCCACATCGGTCCCCCCGATCGCAGTTTTATCATGTTTAACAAGAAGTACAGCTGCAATTATGTTTTTTCTTCTTGGGCTCAGTTCTTCATCTCCTCAGAAACCTTTGTTCTTATTCGGCAGAGGTGGATACTTATACACGTGGTTTCTGAGACTTGCGTGTGCCAAGCCAGTGCCAACTGGAAGCCATTAATCAGCTGGGAGGGGGACATAAGCAGCATGGCTATAACTGCAAGCTCAGAGGAGCCCAACAAGCCAAATGGATTTCCGCTATGCGGCAAGCGAAGGACTTGCCATAGGACACTCCGGACTACTCCGACCCACCTAACCCTGGCGAAATGAAGCAAAAGGCACACCATCCATGGCCACACACCCAGATACAAACCAGTGGGCTACACTATAGGACTCCTTTACAAAATTAAAAAACAGATTCAACACTGTGTTGCAAACTGGAAGTTACATCCAAATCTTGCATTAAGTAAATCTTCCTGCCTCCAGAAACGACAAGGAATAAAAAGATGGCTACACTGAGGTTCTGTTTCTGCCGCTTACCTTGAAAATCAGGGCCAGGTGGTTTGAGTGCTTCTCGGCGTTCCAGGGAGGCTTCGCGCAGGACATCTCTATGATGGCGCAGCCAACGCTCCACACGTCGCAGCTCCGGCCGTACTGCTGGCCCCGCAGCACCTGGAAAACACCTCGGTCAGACGGGCCGCGGGCACAGATGGGCACAGGTGTGAAGACCTGCATGCTCACCACGCAAGAATTGACGGCTAGCGAGGGTACACAGTGTTGCAGTAAGCACGGCTTGCAGCAAGCGTGAAACATTTTTTTTGTGATGAGCTGTTTTGACAGTTTCTCAAGCTTCAGAGGGCCCACACATCGATGAAAGACAAAACCAGAGAGCGGGTGTTTAGGGGACTGTCGCCTCAGTGGAATGAGACTGCACCATTCGGAGGAGAATTAGGGTCAGAGAATCACTCTCGTTGGATTTTCTCGGCCAGTCCACGCCAATTGCCTTGAAAATTCATATTTAAACAGTTCCAAGACCGCAAACTTACTAATGTAAAAAAAACACTGAAATAAAATGACATCCTCTTGTTGATCTGTAAAACTAATCTTAAAAATTGGATAAATGTGGCTTAAGTGAGATGCAGTGTTACAGGAAAAAAAAAGCTTGAATTTATCTGATACTACCGATATAAGATATATGATATATGGCACAAATGTCCTTACTAACCTTTCTTAGTAATACTTTTGTTTTCTTTGTGTTCTTTCATCTATGAACACATATTATATAACAAATAATGAAAATCTATTCAAAGACTTGCTTTTGGCAGAGATCTGTATTTAATTAAATTCAATCACTAAATCCAAGCTTGTGAAAGCTGATGAAAAAACTGCTTGAGCATTTTATTTTCAGAGAGAAAGCAGGCTGTTCTTTTCTCAGAACAGGCACAGCCAAATGATTTCTCCGCTAATTAAACATGTTTTGGATGACAATGAAAACAAGGTATTAAAAGGCCATTTATTGCTGGCGTCTCATAGGGATTTCAATTTTCTTTTTTCCCCAAGTTACTGAGAATTCTCAATCCACTCTGACCAATTCCCTAAAATGCACGTGATTCTCAGGTCTACATGATTAGCTGGATTTCCTAAACCTTTGATTTGATTATTAACATTTGAAAAAATCATGGTTAAAAAGTACACTCTTCAACTTCCAAGATGCCTACTGCAAATAGACATGAAAAATTAAATGCACAATACTGTCTCCCCATTGGTATTTGTTCTTTTAATACTGTTTTTTCACAGAACCGTATAAATATCCTCTTTGATTCTCTTGTTTTGTTTTATGAATAAAGACAAGTTGATTTACATATCAAAAGACCATTTAATTTATTTAGTTCCCTTACCTAAACCTACTCATGTCCAAAACTAATAACAACCCAGGACTATATGCTTTTATATAAATAATGAAAATATCTTGGGGGGAAACAAAAAACTTGTTTTTACCTCTGGAGCCATAAAGGCAATTGTTCCTAGCAGCTGGCCCTGAAACTCCCCCGCTCCAGTGCCCTTTGATGCCAGCCTGGCAGCAGCTCCAAAGTCAGCTATCCGTAGCCTCTGCCCTGTGCTGTCAATCAGCAGGTTGGCACCTAAAATAAATACAACAGAAGGGCTGGTGGTTAGCGTAGGCCACAGTGAGGGAGTGGAGTCCCCAAATTCCAGCACTACACCCCTCCCTCGTCGAGAGCGCCCAGATAGATGGGCTGCTCCGAGCGTGCCGCTGGACAAGGCCTCTCGACCGCACTCTGGGGTCAAGAGGTCACAGCCAGAATAGGCCCTTGCCAGCCCGAGCTGCTGCTTCTCTCAGCCGGAAGCACCAGCACCTCTTCAGCTCCTGTCTCGGAGCTCAGGCTGCCCTCACCTTTGATGTCTCTGTGAATAATCTGGTTCTCGTGCAGGTAAGCGAGGCCACGCAGCAGCTGCTCTGTGTAGTTGATTATCACCGGTTCCTTGAAGGCGCCATACTTGTTCAGTAAATGAGAAACTGAGCCACCTTAAAGGAAGGGACAAAGACTTAATTCAATTTGAACAAACTGCTTGATTAGGCCACCCTGTTCATCGGGTGCCATTCTGTTCATCAAGCAAGGCTTCTACAAGAACTTAAACTTTCCCTTGCTTTTCAAACAGCCTTTTTCCCCCAGCACTTGTAAGACTAAGTTTTATTACCATCACCATAAAGAGAAAAAAAAAATTGCAAATTTAGACTGCGAACACACAGCAAACCCAGAACACAGTTTACTTTCTCTATAGCTGCCCCAGGGCAAGAGTCTCACCTGCCATCCACTCCACAAACAGGTTGTAGTTGTTCTTCTCGCAGGTGGCGCCAAGCATGCGAATGATGTTGGGGTGATCGAGGTGGCTCATCATCCGGATCTCTTCTCTTAAAGCTTCTACAACCTCTTCCTGCTCCGAGGATGTGTTCCGGACATAGGTCACCTGAGGCAGGCAGGTAACAAGAGAAAGGTCATCACGTTAATAATGCGCAGGTTCCATGGTATACTGGGGGTGAAAAACAGGTAATAAAATGCCTAGAAAGCTGATTATTCATAAGAGCAGCTCAGCCACCTTGTAGCCTGACACTGTCAGACCTCAGAAGCTCTAAGACCAGTAATGAAGAACAGGCTGCTGCTGAATGAAGTGTTGATTGACCTGCCCTCAGAATTTCCAAAAGCAGGACTGTCCCTTTATGGGGACTGGAGACACTGGACTGTAGGAGACACCAGCCTTTGGAGGAGATGCTAAACCAAGGTCTGCCTTGGTCATTAAACATTATATTGCACTGTCTGTAAGAGCAAGGATATTGGTGTCCTGGCTTAATGCAACATGTAAAGCACAAGGAACTGTAAATATGAGGAACTAGCAACAAAGGTATGAGCTGGGCTGTTCTTGATTTTATAAGCATATCTTCCCACATGATTTATAGAATTAATTTAGCAAAAACAAATCTGGGGGATCAAAACTGATAAAATGGTGTCCCATCACTATTCTCAGATGGAAATCTAGGTTACCTGTTTGACGGCCATCAGTGTGCCAGTCCCCACATCTTGAGCCTGGTAACAAGATGAGAATGCTCCAAGGCCGATCTGCTGCCCTTTGAGCCATTCTACCCCCTCTCTGTAGGGGTACTTTGCTTTGGTATGTCCAGGCAGAGTCTCTGGGGTCTGCAAATGCATGAAAAGTCACATGTTTATTAAACCTCAAGTTTTAAATTCTAGAGCAATTATAATTACATATTTATGAGTTATTTACTCTATTTGAAATAGAGGAACAAATCATAGTGTCATAAGGCATTTTACAATGCTGTCCACTGTATCATAATATAATGGATATAAGGCATAGCATATGCTTCCTGGCTTGCATGAAATGATATTTCAAACTAGTCAGAACCAGGGAGACCTTTTGTGAAGAGTTTTATGGTGCTGCAAAGCTGGGAAAGGCAACAATCCTGGCAAAACAGTGATTTGGCAGCTCTGTCACAACAGACAACTGTTTACAAAACAGACTTTTAACATTATTTTCACCATTTATCACTGATGCATTAAAACACATAATGAACACCAATTGAATACAAGTCATGTAAACAGACATAAAAGGGTGTTTTCAGACATCAATAGCAGGAAGGAGAAACCTGTTTTACTTACAACAACATTTTAAATGTACACCTTTTTGTCAAAACATAACAATTAGATCAGCAAACGAGCAAGACTTACGTCCACCTGGATAATGATAACATCCTCTCCTTTGTCAACCTGGAGCTGTGGAATTGTGGGTAATGCGTCCTGGGATGCCGACATGGCCATAACGATGGCCAGAGCCTCCTCTTCCTCGGCCTCCATCTTCTCCTTGCACTTCTGGTTCTGGTCCATGTCGTCGGCGTAGGCATCGTCAGTGCCGGCCCGCTCGGGGGACAGCACTGCCACCTCGGACCTGAAGGTGACCGTGCTGTCACTGGGGGTGATGGAGGCCTCCAGCAGGTCCTCCATACTGGAGTTGAGCTCTGCCGAGGTGTCTAGGCGGAGGTACTTGTCCTCCACGGGGGTGAAGACCGTGTCCTCGCTGGGGATCAGTGCGCCGCTGCTCTCACCTTGCAAGGCGTCTTTCAGGTCTAGCTTCAGGCTGCTTTTCGCAGCTTCACAGAGCTGCTTCCCTCCATCGCCTGGGGAGGGGCGGGAGGGTTTTGGTCTATGGATCTGGGTGGTAGGCAGGGGCCTTGCCTGGGTGAAAATGGGGGACAGTTTTTCAGGTTCTCTGTGTGCTTGTGTGCCCTTCTGGACTTGGAGAAACTTGCGCTGGGAGCCGGGGGACGCTGAGGCCAGTTTGCCCTGGACGAAGCCCTGAGGTCTTACCTTACAGTTCTCATTTACAGGGAACGGTGGAGGGTGAGAGGCAGAGGGAGAGGGAAGAGTTGGGAATGGACTTGGGGACTGATTTGATGAGGGGGAGTTCAGACACTGACTTAGAGGCCTGGTCTTTGCCTGAATTGGAGCCTTTGGCTGCTCAGCGGTGGCACTTGGCCCTGGAAGCCCCACAGAAATCCCAGCCAGCCGTTCTGTGATGTCCTCTGGACTGATTCCAGGTTTGAGGTCGGCCAGGCCTCTGGGACTCCTCCCACACAACTGCACTGTGTGAGCGGGGGTATTGTTTTCTGTGACATTTGGCGAGTTTTGGGGGGCTGCAGGCTCTACAAATTCATTGTGTCGTCCCTCTCCAGTGGGAACATCTTCCATGCCCAACTGAATGGCTTCTATGATGTCCATCTCTTCCGCTATGGCCATCAAGCGCCGCCTCATGCGTGCATAGTGCGTGGAGCTGGTGACACTCAGCATGTCCAAGAGTTTCACAAACACGTGAGGCACCCTGGCGACCATTCTTGCCGCACTCAGGAAAACCCTCCGGGACAGCTTGCCGACCATAGAGTGGGAATTGTCAATGGACTGCAGTGCAAAACTCAGGAGAGATAACAACTTCTGATATCTGTGGGAAGCCAAAAATTTAAAGTCAATAAACAACTTCTGGTGTTCAACAGCAAACAGGTCGTCATGGACCAATTGTTTTGTGCTCTTTATCCTTCCATCGTTACTTTGTTTCGAAAAGGAACACCAATGTCTTAAAAAAAAAACTAAAAATGATATAAGCAGAAAGACTGTCAGGTTAATACCCACTTCTGTGGATGAAGCTAGCCAAGTGCAGATTTCATTTTCTGGTATTCAATGGGCTATCGTGAATCACTTCCAGAGCAAAAACGCATTCATTATATGCTAAGGATTCTTAAGTCTGGATGGCGGTATTACATCATATTTTACTATGACATTGCACTGCTTTATTATTTTTAGGACTTCTAACAGATAGCACAACAGAAAAACATTCCCATAAAATACTTTTGGTGCTACAACAGACAATTTTGCTGAACACAAGAAAGCTCTTAATGAAACAAAATCCTGATACACCCTACCTTTCCACGAGTGTCTCTGACTGTTGACTCTCCCCATTGGAAACAATATGGGGATAAAATTCAGCAGGAAATTCCAGTAAAAGCCTGTCAATCAGGCAGAGGCGTCCCAGTAGTGCCTGCCAATTGTTTGCTTCAGTCTGGGACCCCAGGATACAGTTTAAGACATAGTCCACGCCTCCAATACCTATGGATCCTGCAAAAACACAAGTTACAGAACAGGTGGGTCAGTTTCTGTTGTTTAACTGCACAAACATACAACCACACCGAGGGTCTAGCTTGCGCCTTAAACTAAAATTCTATGCGATGCTGAATTTATCCAGTTATAAAATGTTATACATTATACAAAAGATACAAATTCACAGTTTTATATAATTACTTACAAGTGCTACATAAATGAACAAATTCAATCCAGAAAGGAAAAGCATGGGAGGGAATATAAATATACCACAGCACACACAGCTAAAACCACTTATATATAAAAACAGGCCTGTAAAGTTTTAGAAACGACACGCGCTTTCCATAACAGAGGTGAGGAAGTAAGCAAAGCACTAGAACCGAGAGTAGCTCAAAAAGCACTGTACTGCAGATCTTAAACACCCCACACTTGCATTACTGCAGAGTAAAAAAATATTTTGTTTTTCTTAAAAGGTATATTTTGTGTTGCCATCCTCCCCATAGAAATTTGCCTCTAGCAACGTATGACTGATGGGTCATTCCTGTATGACCTTGGTGATGGATTCAGTTCAGTTGATTCCTGTATTGATCATGGTGGGTATTCAATGTGGCCACGTTCAAGTTTTATATGAGGTGGACTACAGCACATGTAAAAGTACATCCTAACACGGAGGAAAGGTGCTCAAGCTGCAGTCAGTGACAAAGCCCAGGTTCATGGCTTTCCTATATTCAACAAATAAATCTTACCTGCTTTGAGGATTTCTCTGCCAACTGCCAGTTCTCCAACCTGACCTTTACACAGCTCTAACAGTGTGGAAACTGACAGCTGACTTGTGCGACTGGGAGAAGAAATGTTAAAATTATTTGTCTGTTTTGAAAATAGTCAAAAGGTGCAAGGTAATTCAGGAACTTAATTAATCTGAAAATCTATAAATTAATTTCTTAAATCGCTATATTCACTCAACACTGATCCAGCCATTCAGTGTGTTCAGTATCATTGCTCTGTTACACCACAAGATGTCGCCACTATCAAACAGTTCTTTAGAACAAGAGGTTTGTTCTGTACAGTACAAATATTCAAATAAGCACAACTACGTAATTAACTCTTACAGGATTATATTGAAGGATGTCAAACGTTTGAAAGCCAAATGGTTACAAGCTCCACAGAAACACAGTAGAAAGAACAGATGATTGTCAGAGTAAGGAAACTCTGACAAATACAATCAAGAACAAGACCACCTGCAAGACAGCAAAGGAGAAGTACTATGTTTGTAGCAGGAAGCTGAATGGAAACAATTAGAAAAGGAGACCTGTGGAACAATCTCAAAGAGGCTTTCATCCCTGCTGGGGGTCAATAATGCTAATGATGCATATGTATTGAAACAACTCAGTTACAGCCCCCCACAGCCAAGACAGGAATCTGTTTGCTGTTGATTTACCTGTTAGCATCTGCACATTTCACCAGTATGGTTTCCACCACAGGCCTGAGGAGCTGCTGCAGTCGGCTTCTCTCTGACAGTGTGTGGCAGGGAGTATAAACCAGCATGGCTCTTAACGTTTTCTGCAGCAGAGACAACAGAACTCTCATCAGAACTCAGGATAGCAATACAAAACTAATCTGTTCTCACAAGGACAAAATACTTTTGGTCACTTTAATATGTGGTGGAGAATAAATTGTAAAACATTTAGAAACAAGTGCAAGCTGAATTTAACATTACTTTCATACAAAGGTCAATACTTTTGTAAACTATTGTTGTGACAACTTACATTTCAGTGAAAACTGACCTGCAGACCTTAGAAACTTGAAATTCAGAGCCAACAAAGAAATAATTAATAAAAGTAAACACATTAGTAGTATGTTAAGAGTATATATTATAGACTAATATGCAGAGGAACATCGTGAATCTCATCATTGAGTTTCAGGTCAAGATCTGAATGTTCCAGCACAACATCATAATCTTTACATTCATATTCAAACAGCTTCACTGAACAGAGTAAACTGTTTTCCTTTGTCATAAAATGTCAAATTATACAATTCAAATTTCAGCTGGCAGAGGACAACATTTTAAACAAATACTGCAATAGAAAAAAAACTTCTCTGGCTGTCCCTCAGTTGTAAACAAGCCCAACATAGCAAACACTGCTTAAGATTATTACGCCTTTAAGTGCTGCTTCTGGAGTTGCGATAAAAGCAAGTGAATTTTGCAGCCTTTATTCTAAGGGCACATGTGTAGTCTTCATAGAACCGCAAGGCAAAAGAAAAAAAGATTTTTGTTATGAAGACTCAATGATAAATGCAAGAGCAATTAACACAAAGAAAAGCCTACATATGGCAAAAACTCAGCTCCTTGCAGGCCAAAAGCAGCTATTTCACTGCAGGAAAAAAAGTACTTTGTCCCCCTGTTAATGGAGAAGAATGCTCACAATGCAATGGCCAGCACGCTCTGGCTGTTCAGATTCAAAAATCACGCTGGGAGCAGTGAATTAGTGAGAGCTGCCAATGGGAATGGTACCCAGGTTCAACAGTAAACAGCTCTCGGCTCTATAGGGAGGTCCATCTGCTTTCACAAACCTGCCCTCGCTATTTCTGGAGCATTTGCCACGCGCACTCAGCGCAGACACTGGCATGAATGGCCGGCTCCAGATCAGTCTCTTGGACAACCAGCTCTTCAGAATCACCAGTCTCACAGGCTGCTCCTATCCATATGACAGGCTGTTGCTTGGCTTATATTAGTCGGGGAAGGAAAGTAATGTTTGGGAGTGTAATGTCTTATTTTCACATGACATACAGTGAAAGGCCATGTCAGCTGCATTCATACTGGGGAATAATCAGCACTATTGCATACCATGGTACACACTGAGCAAATCGAGTTCAGTCATATAGATAAATATCACAATTGCAGAAGTGTATTTAGAAAGGACAATACTAAACCCAAAACCATTACTCAAAGTTAGACTAAATGCTGACTAATATGCACCATAGGAAAGACTGGAGAAATTAGAAGCAAAATATTCCCTGCCCATGCGATTCCCTTTTTGCCCTACATAAGTGTGACATTTAAAATTGTAAACTACTTTAACCCATTTTTCCCAATAATAACGAAATGGTTTTTTTTTACAGCCTAAGTTGCTAAATATGCACCTACGTTTCACCATACTCTCCCAGCCCTACATAAACAGGCTTCAAAACAAAGCGGTGATTAAGTTGGTCCTCGTTCTCCCGTCAACACTAGCCTTTTGCTAGTTATCTGCAGCAAAAGCTACCTCCCTTCTTCACTCCAGCAAAGGAATAACACTGCAGCCTCTCTGCCCAACGCACGCCTAAGAACCTAAACAGACAATACTGTTTTGTGTGCAGAAATGCCAGCCACCGAAACAAAATGCCGCAAGCAAATGTCAAGCCCTCCAAAAGCCTGAATACCATAGAGGGTTGATCTACAGAGGAAAGTAATTAGGTTAGTAACGTCTTCTGGTCTGCCTTGATGTCCCAGCTACTGAAGTCGACAGAAAAGCATGAGAGCTCTCATAATTGTACTTTAAACCCTATTTATAAAAATGGATTTTTAACTTTTAAGAACTTGATTAATATATAAATACCTTTCTCTAAATGTTCCATTTTAAAAACACGTGGGTAATGTGGTATTTCAGTTTAACTCGGGCATCTGCACAGATAACTTCCTGCTTTTTAAATGATACTGTCCAGTTGAATCAAATGAAATCTCAAACTCTATCACGATGATGACTAGTTTTGTAATCTGCAAAACAAGCCTTTGAATGGCTATACTTGAGCACCAACATGTAACATGGTGTAACATGAACAGTAACATGGTGATGGCTTGTGCTTCTAACACATTTTTTAACCTGAGACCATTGTATCACAAAGGCAGAAAAATGATATTAGAGTGTCCATGAATAAACCAAAGGGATACTGCAATGGAGGCTAAAATAAATATATCTGGGACAAAAATGGTAAAATTCTAAACAATGAAGGGGAAATGGGTGATATAGGAAACAAGGTGATAGGAAATGGGTGATATAGGAAACAAGTATTTCTGGTTTCACCAAGGAAGAAGTCAACATTTATCACGCAGTGGAAGGACAGTTCTATATTGTATGGAATCGGCACAGAAGTCTGACAAGACTCTTTCAGGTTCCAGGTTCTTATAAATCGCATCGTCCCAGTATTCAAGTCAGCTATATTGTGATAGAAACCTCAGGGTGGAACAGCCTGACATCTGGGATATCAGAGATACCGAAACTGACTATTTTGCAAAATGTAAAGTTCTTTGTACAATTTTCCTGTTAAGAGGTACCATGGACTGCACTGGTCATCAGCCAGCAAAGCGCCTCATGGCGAGACAGAGGTAAAGACACATACAGTCACACTCCACTGATCCTGAACCGGCAGCTGCAGATCGATACGTACCAGTGCAGCGACATAGACTTTGTAGACTGGGTCGGCACACACCATGGAGAGCACCGAGCAGCACGACTCCACCACCACGTCCCCGGAGACTTCGCCCGGAGAGGCGCCGGCCGCTGTGTGGGCGGCGGCTGCCCCCTGGCCGCTCCCAGCGGCAGAGCTGGAGGTGGCTGTGCGCTCGCCGTTGGCCAGCAGCAGCGCGCCACTGACGTCGTGGGACAGCCGCCGGAGGGCCATCTCCCGGATGTTCCAGTTCCTGGAGAACAGGCAGCCGACCAGTTCCATTCCAAACACCTGGACACGTACAACAAACGGGAAGGAGCCAAATTAAACCTACAGCTGCAGCCCAGAGTGCTTTAATCGTGTGGAAAAACTTAGAATTCTAGAAATTCTAGAAACGAAGAACTTTGCACTGAATCAAAACCTACATCGGTATTTAGAGTTCAGCTCAATTCTTCAGATCCATCTTTTCCAACAAAAAGGATCAGCTATGACCGGCTAAACCTACTGGACCTGCACTTCTTTGTGACTAAAATGTTTGGCCCAAAACAGTAAAGACTATGGGACAGTTTACTCAGTTGAGGACTCCAATAATTAGGATGTTAACAACACACTTTGTAAGGCCAAAGTGGGTCTTTTCGGCTTTATGTTATTTAGCCTGAAGAAAGACAACAAATAAAACCTCTGTGCCTTTGTAAATTTTGTAAAAGACGTACAAAATAACAGCTGAAAGGCAAACTGTGAGCAAGACTGATAAACAGAACACAGTGTTCTGGGAAACACACAAGGTTTGGGGCTAAAATCTCGGTTCTCTGTCGTTTTTCCAGATACAATCCATTTTCCCCTGAGGGATCCCAGCCCTTTGCTGTTTTACCTTAATCCAGGGCTCTGCCAGCTCTTTGTATGTTAGGGGAATCTGCTGCACGCCATAGTGAGGCAAGTTGAAGTCACTCTCCTGCACTCTCCTCTGGGCATCAGTGTGAGGCGAGTGCTGGTGTTGAAGAGACTGATTGTGACCCTGTCGAAGTGCAGCACTGTCCAGAGTGCTGGATGAATCATGGCTGTTAAAAAAAACAGTTTTCCAGTTAAACAACGTGAACCTGGAGAACTTCCTCCACTGACTTTTAATAATACCGAAGACAAAAAAAATCTCCACTGCACACGTGGAAATGTAAAATTTTCCCATTGCAACACATTCTTTTTGATACCTATTGATAAGTAGGTATAAATGTGTGTGTGACTATTACTATAGTTCTCAGTTCTAATTCAAGCATTCATTTAGACCTTGAAGACAGTGAATAGCTGAAGAAAACCATGAACAACTCTAATGCAAACAAGGAATGAAATCATGGTTTCAAATGACAGCTTATGAAGAAAAGATCATTTTTGGCTACCCTCTCTCAGTGCTGGTCAGGACAGACACAAAGTGTTGGTGCCTGGCAGTCTGACTATATGAAGAGAAGCCAGCTCGACAAGACAAAAGTCTTGATTTAGAAAAAAAGTAGCTTTCCATAAACCACATAGATCCTAATTAAAAGGGGAGCTACCTTATTAGGAAACGCAGAATACACATCATTAAATGAATCACGTTGAAAGAAACAGTGCAAAACATTCTATTTCAGAAGACTCAGAGTCCACATTCTGTTATTTTTGTTATACACATTTGTTGGGGTGGTAAAATGGCACCATGAGCAACTTGACATATCAGATGTACTCTTGTAAAGTCTTAGGTCACTAATATAAGACCTACAAAATATTAATAGGCCAAGAATTTCCACCACTGACACATTTTAAATTAGTCTCTAATGGTTAAACGGGAGCACAATTAATTTCATCCTCTTGATGTAATCAAAGGGAGGATTTATCGAGGAGGTCTAATTTAGTACTGTTGACTCTCACATTCTTAGCCCAGAGCTTTAGTCTCAGCTGTTAACCCATGTTAAGTTCAATGCAAAAGGTTTAACACCAGAAGAGAACCTGGAGATCTTCCGTACTACTCATTCAGTCCACTTTGTTGCTATAGCTTTATGAAATTTGGCATACAATGCTTCTTTTCTACTGGGAAATCTTTTAATTAAACAGAATATTAAGCTTTGGAAGTTGAAGGTCATAAGTTATTTTTATCCTTATATGAGAAGAATGTCAGCAATGATGAAAAATGCCCTTTGCCTATTGGGTTTCTGAACTGAAATTACAGAGACTTAGAGACACCAATTAATGGCCAAGAAACTTGAAACTGTTGCATCTTAACACACCACAAGTGTCAAGATTTAGAAGCCTTGTTTTCTGAAAGTGTTGCCTTTACCTGTAAAAATCATGTGATTTCCACTTGGCTCTGCAAAGGGGACAGATCAATGTTTCACGGTTCCGTCTACATTCTTCAGCCCCTGAAAATCAATACCGACAGACATCATTAATTTGTTTTGCACAGAAGACAATTCGTGGCTACCTGTCAAATGAGAGACAGAGATTAAAATAATGAAAGCCTGCAGATAGAGGTGCTATAAAGGTTACTGCATTGCATTACACAATGTCTAAGCATCCACTCTGACATTAGGGCTAACAAACACGTGACCATGCAAAACGTTTGACTGCACAAAATGTATGGGTCAATGAAGATGAGCAACAGATTACAGCTACTTTCTGAAGGTTCATTCTGAAGATACTGCTAAATGCACCATTTTAAGGCCTATAACAGACTTACAGATAGACATGCAGTGATGATGAAGCTTGTTCCTGCACCCTTCTTCACAGACTGTTAAACTCTCTTCATCTAGCATGTCCAGCAAACATATAGGACACATCTGCTCTTCTTCATCCTTCATGCTGCAAAGCCAAAACAATAACACCTTGAAATTACCTTTCAAATCCAAGGACCAAAGGACAGACGTCTATCATGCAGACAGATTTTAACAAAAATACAGTTCAGTCTCTATGGCTGTCGTCCACATGACCTTAATTAAGGCAGTGATGACTTTTTAATAAGCTGGTGAAAAACGAAAATGCTCCTTACTGCAGTGTCAATGGAAGACTTAGCTGCTTGGATGCAAAAAGAATGGAAAAGGAAAAATAATGCCATCACAAGGAACATATGGAGGACTGTCTTAACCACATGGGTGAGCCCTTCAAGTTTGTAAATGGGTGTAAACAGCACCTTTGATAGCAATATTAACGATTACTCACTGTTTCTAGTCATGGTCCTGAGGCACTCTTGTAATTCTTATTTCTTTGGGTTCTTATTCCAACTAAGCTCTTAATTAAGAGAACTAAATTTTTAATTGAAGTCTCTGTTTTTTAAGAGTTTCTACTCTTTAAACAGAAAGGTGGAACAGGAGTTAAGAGTTCAGTGATTTTAATTCCTTAAGAGCTCAGTTGCAACAAAAACCAGTTAAGGCCAGAAAACTGCAGGACCAGGATTGGGACTTTCTGGCTTATGTTATTCCAGAATTGAAAAACAAAGTTGTAACCATGATTATTCAGCAATACAACAACCATAATGGGATGATAATGACCACAGCATTTTCTCTATTGAGGTCTGGTCATAATCGTTCTGAAATTTTAGACATTTAAAGGATAAACGGATTCAATAGTCTTCATATGTGCAATTACAATTAAATTAAAAAAATAGTTCATGAAAATGCTGTCCTTGAAATTGCAGTTGGTGTTGGATTACTAAGAGGCCAGATGAAAAAACAGAAAGGAGTAATCTTTTGCTCTTTAATTTTTCTGGCTTTGAAAACTAAACTAACTTGACTTCAGCAAAGGAAAAATAACCTTCCGCACCTGTTCTCATTGCTTGATGTTGAATTACTGGACGAGGAAGACGTGTGAGAATTGGACATACGGGACACAAACTTCTGGATTGTATTGCGAGAGGGAGCTTTGATTCGTGAGCTACGCCGATTGTGATACTTCTGAAATAAGCTCTCCACCTGTTCAGGAACAAAATAGGAAACAAAAGTTCACTTGTGTTTTTTTAAGTTTTTATTTCACATGGCACAAGCTGAAGAAACAGATATTTAGATGGGTGACTTCAATCTATCAAAAAATTGTATTACATTGATCTTATTGAATCAACCAGACAAAGGTGGACCACATAAGTGAAAAGTAAAAAGCTAACAAAACCCGGATTCCAATAAGAAAATCAGATGGTTTTCTTTTCTGCCCCATTTCACAAAGTGTCTTTAGGAATTCTGGATAATACAGATAATGTTGACTTGGAAAAGAAAACAGAGTTAAAGACTTTGAATCCTCCACACTCAAACGTTCATCTCTTGGGAGACAAAAAAAATAAGATAAATGTATCTGCACATTACTTCAGTACCCTGCTAAAACTATATTTTTGATAAAACTATTTACTATAGTTACTATAAGTAACTACTTATGTAATTAATGCATGCTGACACAAAATTAATGAATGCTACATTAATCAAATGTATTCAGATTCTTGGTTTGAAAGCTGCTTGACTTCAATTCAATACTCAACAATGCAATACTGGTTCAATGCAATACTGAAAAATCCTACATTTATTCTTAATTGCAAACCCTTATACTTTAATTTTCTAAAAGTATACATATGTAAATACCAGGCAATATTTATGCTCAACAAGTTTCACTTAATAAATGATCATACAACCTTTGGAGAAGGACAGCACCGCAGTGTGTTTGTGTATAATATTAAGAGGTGCTCATAAACTGCAGCAATACTTCCTTCATTCAAAAAAAAGTTTCTTATTTTTGTACAACAATATTTCTAGTCGGCAAGACTTATGGGTCCTGCTTCAGAACTGCTGTCAACGTCCATGTATGGTTATTGTCCAGTTCCGCCGGGCCAGAGCCCGATTCACAGTTTGTAAACTTTTACTGCTGGCTAGTCTTTCAAATCCCAGCAGGCCGTAAAGGGTTCATGGACCGTCAGAATGTGCTTTGTGGTTATGCTGCAGTATGAACTCTCTTCCCCAGGGGCGGGGGGGGTTTACAAGACAGGTGGCTGTATAGCACGAAGTGGTTACCTCAAAGTTTTTCAGAGTTTTTCTCCACAGCATGGGGTCGGAGGGCTCGAGCTGGAACACCCTCAGCATCACGAAGAGGACGTGGATACAGAACGTCCCTCGGCCACAGCTGCAGGTCTGCAAGGACGGCGTTCATCACAGTGGTGTTAGAGAAGTGTGCTCGGTGCACAGAAACAGCCTTCGAAGATGGTTTTGGTTTAAGGCGACTACCCCACTAATTCAAAAACACCCTCACGAACCAGAGGGAATGCTCTCTAACCCAGAGTGCAGGCAAGCAAACATGATACCGATATGGTTATTGATACCAACTCAGTCTAATGTGACATTAGAGATTCTTAACCATATTATTATAAGGAACAAATCATCGGTTTATTCCATGCTGAAAAAAAACACAACGTTTCGGCCGTGGAGCCTTCTTCAGGTCTGAACATATCATAAATCTATCTGGCTAATGCTTTTATCCAAAATGAATCACATCTGCACCTTTTAAGTTTTTATTTCAGATAGCACAAGCTGAGGAAACAGATATTTAGATTTAGTGTTAGATGACCCGTTTCTACAACTAGGAAGAATTAACTGGACCGGTTCAGGTGACACCTTGGGTACAACTGCACCCCAGACACATCCGGTTACCAGTCCAGGACGCTAACCAGAGACGCCCATGTCCATGTCAAAATACTGCATTTGATAAAAGATGGCAGGTGACTCTTTAACCAGCATTCCTGTTGTTGCAAAATAAACTACAGCTATAAACAGAATTGTCTTCCGAGATCCAGATTACGTTTCAACTGTTTCTATGTTTAAAAAATCCTAAAGTGCTTTCCTAACTTTCACATGCATTCAAATGGCTTATATTTTAGTACAAAGAAAAGGTTTCCAAAGAAAGGATTTTACACTCTCAACTGTGGCTTCCTCTCCAAACCAGACTCCCAGACTGATTACATTTTACTGAATCCAGGAAGACAGCTTCACAGTCACTTAACTTGTTCCAGAAACTTCCTGTAGACAGCTGTTTTTTTTTTCTTGTGAAGAAAATGTGATTTTAATGAAACCCACTTGGAAATGTTTCAGGGAAGTGCTGAATTACTTACACTGTTTTTCACAATAATTTGAATTCGGTTTTGCTATCAAGGATTTAAAAAAACATTGTCTTTGTTTGCTTGTTTCCTTGCTGATTAACCTGCCACTGACTGCATGTACGTTTTAACCCATTCCACCTACAACAAATGATCACGCAACACATTATGATCATTTAGAACAGATGATGAGGAGTTAAAATAATCATGTGATTCCAATTCCCTTCCTTTCCTAATATCTCCAGTGTAATGGCTGATCTTACCTGAGGACCAATAAACACCCTGTATTTGTTGTCAGGGCTGTCTCCGCCAATGAGGAAGGAATTGGGTCCGATCTGCTGCAGCAGGTACAGTCGTGCCCTCATGACTTTGTTGACTCTGCGGGTTGTCTCCTCGGGACTGTAGGGAGAGAAGCCGTCTGGAGAGGGAGCCCTCCTGGGTGGGGTGACGCGCCCACTCTGGAACTGCACACAGAACAGGGCATGTTAAGAGAAAAGCAACGGCTATGGGAAAACTTTTGGCATGGCAGTAATTATGCCATTTTCAATAATTGCACATTGCTTTTCTCTATAACGAAAGCCTATCAGGATCACAGTTTACTTTCTCGGATAAGATGCAAATCATGTCGGCTGGTTTCAGTCGCCAATTATTCAAAGTAAACTAAGATCAGGTCATTAACTCTGAGACCAGAGGAAGAATACAACATAAGCTGCATTTTCATCCACAAACACATAGTTACTTAGCGTCCACTGCTCCGTTAATGGTTGAAAATAGTTAAATAAACTTGAGATTAAAAGAAAATATTTTCACACTAAGCAATATTTGTACCTATATTTAAAAACCAACAATATATTTTAAGTAATAAGTTATAAGGTCTAACAAGCATAAACCTGACTATAAAAAAGACCCAATGATTAAAAATTTAAACCACAGGCTGCCAGATGTCTAGATGATATCCTCTTCTGCTGAAATTTTTTGGGAAAAAAAATTTAATTGGGTGGATGAACCTTTAATATTGACAGCCGACTTTCAATTAAAACAGTTAGCAAATATCTTTGGACTTCATCAATATAAACTACAGTGTTTTAAGTTTTCCGGGAAAATAAAAACAATAAAACCCAAAAACAATTGATAACTTTAGAAAACCACATGCAGAACCTCCACTGTACTTGAACTCGGAGATCATGTCTATCTGCACCGCTGCCTGACTGACAAGTACCTCTGGGAGGAAATGAACAGACCGCCTGCGGGTGGAGGGACTTACAGGTACTGGAGACACCCTCTTCCTGCGCACGCCAGGAGACTCCGACTTGAAGCCGGTCTTGCAGGAGGAGGAAGAGGAGGAGGAGCTGGGAGAGGGGCTTCGTCTGCCCCTGGCCTGCAGGGACGCGGCGGCCTGCGACTCGCTCAGGACGTCTGAGCCCTGCTTGCCAGCCTCACTGCCGTCCGGCCTCAGCGGAACGGGTTTTACGACCTGTGAGCGAGAACAGGCTGTGGGTTCTCCTGAAGTGGCGGTGAGCAGAGGTGCTATGTGTTGCTCTCTGCACAGTTCTCCTTTCACAGTGTGAAATTCAAAATGTGAATTTTAACACTATATTGGCGTCAGACTTATATATTTCCTGTTTTTTGTTGCCAGGATATACACAAAACAAAAGGCTTATGCATAGCAACAATAGTTTGGCACTGCACTAATAGTCACAAGACGGCACAATTTTGCACATCTCCTTGAGCACAGCAGTCTAACTGAAGTGTGAAGTCAGTCTCTGAGTAAGCAACTAACAAACCTCTTATTTGCTTTGACAAACTAAGTAAATGAATACACATGGAATTCAGCAGTCTGACCCTAAGGGAAAAAAAAATCAAGGCAATGCTTCTCTGAATTGAACTGACCATATTTATTGATGGATGAAGAGAAAAAAGATGCCCCCTTGCAAATACATTATCTTGCTCCTGTCTGGTATTTCCAAAGTTAAAAGGAATAAGGAAAATTATTAAGATATAGCTCTCATCACTCGGAAGCCCAACATTTTGAGAAACCAGTATGTGACAGTATATATCAGATTTACAGCAAAAATATTTATTTTCAAGACCGGCATATTGCATTTACTTTTAAGCACATATTCTCAGAAGACATGGAAAAGGATTTCTCTATTATATTTCCAAACCATCACTCTAAACATTTCTTCCTTTTAAAGAAGTCCCTTCTGCTTAAAAATGTTGTTCCAAATGGACGGAATTCCACATACTGTCAGGTTATCGCTCCCACAGCTGCTTTTTATTCTCCCTTATTGTCTTTTAAATTTCTCTATCCCACAGTCCCACGTGCATGGATGGCAGATTCTGTTTAGGAGGACAATCTGTCCATTTTCCCTACAATTCTGCTTTCCTCTGGTAAACAGCCTATTGACTAAATGTCTATAAAACCTGCCTATTACACCAATAACCTGTACAGAAGGCTGCTAGAAAAAGCAAGCCGATGAGTTAAGATGGCAGGAAGTCCTCACTGATGTGTAAATGGTTCGCAAACGGAAAACCATCAGGTATTAAGTTATGATACAGCAACCAAAGGAACTGGCAACAGCTGTACTGGCAGATATGAAGCTTCAATGCCGTTACTGTGCTGAGTGTAGCTCTGCTCACGTCAGAATTCGATTACAGACGATTGCAGGCAAACCCGCTTCAGAGCCAAACAGCGTGAGTCACCAGGCAGCAGCGAATCCCTCTGTGCTAGAAGATCAGGTTCCCTGCTATCAATTATATCTAGCTTTCAAGAGTGTGATATCACTTCCTGCAACAGGCTCAGAGACTAAATCCTGAAGAGACTAAGTCCCGAAGCGATCTTTTCTCAAAAATAACATGAAACCACATGAAGGAGAACAGTGCAAGGAGAGCACAGGAGGGAGAGGATATGGGGGGTCGATTCACATCACGCCTCCACTCACCACTGGCCCTCTCCTGCTTCGCCTCTCCAGCCACTCGTGCTTCCAGGCCGGCATGCACGTGGCCTTCAGCTTCTCCCGGATCATCCGCTCTTCCGGGCGGTCGTCCATCTTCTGCAGGCCCCTGGGGGTATCCTTATTCTCCATGTCACGGCTGTGGAGAGGAGAGGAAAGAGAAGACTAATTAGAACCGCGAGCTAGAAAATCAAGGGCACAAAAAAAGGCCTCAACCATCCTGTTGTCTGGGTTCCCTGCCGCTTTTTGTATTTTGGGTTATTTTTCTAAATTTATATTTGTGGTCTGAGCTCCATTCCAATTGGCAACAAAGGTGCACCTTTGCACGGTAACAAGCCAAATCTGTAGACTACCATGTAATTACAGGGTCAAATGAGAAGGAGGAGATGTGCTTGGCTACTGGCATCGCTAATTTACTGCACCTTCACAGGCGAAATGTCAAGACCACACAATTCACAGCTCGAGGGGCTTGACTGATAAAGGGTTAATGGCTATTGATGCATCAAAATGGGGATGCATGACTGGAGTTTAGCCACAGATTTTAACAAGAAGTGAGATACACAAAGGCCAGCTGGAGCGCGTCTTTAAGCCTCAGTGGTGATCTGTGGTGGAGTGTTTTATACCAGGGGGTGTTCAATACTGGAACTGGAGCACCAATGTTTCAATTCCAGTTCAGTTCTTAATGAGCTAAACCAGCTGGTTGCTGGATTAACTGAACCATTTTAACAGCTTTTTCAGGTGGTGCTACTTGGAAGACACCTTAACAACCTACAGACATACTGGCCCTCCAGCTCCAGGACTGCAAAACCTCACCCTGTTTTAATCAAACGAAAGAATTAGTGGTTCACCATCATTAGCATGGTTCTTAGATTGGTCCTGAGATTCAGCCTGGATTTTACTTGAATGACATTGCTGAACATCTTCCAAGGTCAAAGTCTAAGCTAACAGCCACCAGCTCCCTTAGTTGTGCTGGGTACTGGGGAAAGGACAGAAAAAGGCCTTTATGGACTGGAAACCTTGTTAAAGTTGGTGTTTGTTGCCAGAGGGAAAGGAAAAATGCTGTGAAAATGCAGCAGGTGAGAAAAAAACACCCCCCTCAACTGCCTTCCCCTCTTTGGGAAGCAGGAAAAAGTAACTCTTCTTTTATTTCAAAGGGGATAACGTTTAAGTGAGATCACAACTGACAACAAACAAAATACAGAATGTTTTCTGTCTCCAAAAATGTTTCAAATAAATGGACTGCTGTGTTTAATGTATTTTCATCAGCCAAATGTGCTCTGTCTTTGCTGTACTTCAGATTGAAGGTTACTGACCATACAGAACCAATTTATGATTTAAATGCCTACAGAATCTATGCAGATTGACCAAATCTTAGCAACTGTCACCCACCTTCACAGATGAACAAGTAAAAGGTTTATTCCATGCTGAAAAGAGAAGAAAGGAAACAACGTTTCCCATATGGAGCCTTCTTTGGGAGGGAGGATCCACAGGCCGAGGATCCACAGCCGAAATGTTGTTTCCTTTATTCTCTTTTCAGCATGGAATAAACCTTTTACTTGTTTATCTGTGAAGATGGGTGACAGTTGCTAAGATTTGGTAAATCTGCATAGATTCTGCAGGCGTTTCAATCATAAATTGGTTCTGTATGGTCAGTATCCTTCAATCTGAAGTACAGCAAAGACAGAGCACATTTGGCTGATGAAAATACACCTGTGCATGCTGACGCAGCTACCCACATGAGTTACGTCTTCCCACATACTTTTGTAAATAGACCCCTGAGTATGTATCAGACTGGGAAATGTCCGATACAGAGACTTGCATGTTTCTCTTATTAAAAAGATATATAAGAATGTCCCTTTTTCTACAGGAATCTCGTGAGGCACATTTTTTTTAAAATAACTTGTGAGAAGAAATGATATCATGAATGTATTGACTGCAAATGTAGAAAAGCAAGTCACCAACATTACTCAATTGAGAACTAATTACTGACTACTGTAGTGTAGCTACTGTTACCACATGAAAAGTAAAAAAAAAAGTATGCTCAGGTTTTGTACACTTAAAAAAACTGATAACTCAGTACTTTTTTTGAATTTTCCTGGAACAAGCACTCTTGCAAAAGGATGTTACGACAGATAACAGCAGTCTGAACATGTTAGAGTTACTGTACATCATATTAATGTGCGGTCAGCATTGTGCTCTACATTTTCATTTTCTTAATAAAAGCAGCCCTTGCAGGACAAACAAATATGTCCACTAAATCCCAGATACTGCTTGCATCATCTGTCCAGCGTTGACTACCATTTACAGGAACATTCAACATCACACAGAAGCTCAAAAATATGTAATTCAGCAACTTTTAAAAATGATGTGTACTGGCACTCATACAAGGAATTTCTATATTGCAAAGAGTTACACAATGGTAAAAAAATTGAAATGGTAAAGTGCACTGCAGTCTGTGCTCTGACATTCTAAATGATCTGATATTCTAAGAGCTTTATCTGAGCTTTTGTTGGTGGCTACTGAATTATTACAAAGAGCTCAGCGATAAAAGTGTTCTCCTGCACGTTTCATTTCAGCTTTAGTAAAAAAGAGACCACTGGTAAATGGCAAGGACTAAGACTACAACACTGAGCACCTCTTGTCTTCAAGCATCTTGCTTGAACACATATGGTCGACGGAAAGTGGTAAAAGACAGCCCTTGAACACTCAGAACATTGTGATTCATTCCTACAGATCTGTATTGAGCAAAACCAAGGTTCTGCATCAGGATCCTAGTAAAGCCAAAACATTTAGAAATAGCAGCTGAGAACCTAAAACGTAATTAATTCACAACTCCTCTAGTTACAAATTAAATTCAACAAAGCATAATTACACAGCATTCTGGCCCTTTTTTCTTTTAATCCTGCAAACAGCATATCCCTGGTACACTGTGCCTCCAGCTTCTGGCATTCATTAGGTAAACTGCCAGGTTTCCCCTTTCGATACTTTGGCATCCCATGGAGAAGATGTCTCGATCACCCAGTGCAGCAAACAGGAGATTAAGGAAGTGTGCCATTTTGCACAAAGTTCACAGAAAAAAAAACAGATCGCCCTAGCTTCTCTGCAAAAAAGTACCATTATTTTTAAGATCGTTGTCTAATGGGCATAAGAGTTGTAGTCAATCAGCGTCTCAATGGTCATTTACCACTTGAGAGGTTGCAGAGACAAGTCACGAGCCGAAGTGTGGCTGACAGGCATTAAGTGAGCTCGTTTCATGACAGATTGTATTACTTTGGGAGAATAGTGAATAAAAACTGTTTTGCTGCTGGTATTTTCTTTGGAAGTGTATGGAATTTGCCAGGTGCCTCAACCATGAATGGGTGTAGACTGTTTAATACTGCTGACTTTAATATTCAAGCAGTTTCTGAACATCACTCGATAACTGATTCGTAATTATGAGTGACAGCTAAGTGTGCTAATTATCTTTTATTTGACTTTTCCTGTTATGGCCAAAACATGATAATATCAAGTTTATTTTAATATTATGAAATACTTGCTTTACTTCCATGTGAAGTTATCCTCATTGTGCACTTTATTATGAAAGAATATTACGATATTTATTTGTGTAAAAAATATCCACTTGTTAATCACTACCTCATTCCAAAGCAGCTTTTTGGACTAAACTTCATAAAACCTTCACAATGCCCTAACAAATATATACCTTAGGAAATACACAGTTTACTTAACACACACTGAGATCTCACCCAGGAAAATTCTTTCTAGAGTACGGTAATAAAAACACTGTCCTTGTCATGGTCCTCTTAGATAATTTAAAAACAAAAACAGAGGGAGGCTAAAACTCTAGGAGACTGATCCCATCGAAGTTGAAAAGAAAATAAGAACTCACCAAATAAAGTCCATACCACTGTAAACGGAGGTGGAATCAACATTATGTAAAGAACAACGCGAGCAATAACAGAGAGTCATTGGTAAAAGAGACATTTTAGGGCAGTGTTAGAATAGCCTCTGCTTAAGTTCTTTTTAATTTACAGCACAGCCAAAACACTTCTTCTTTTTTGAAATACTGTCAAAGGAAACACCATATAGAAAAGGAAATGGTGGCTTCCTGTTAAATGCAGAATAATATTGAGCAGGTGTCCAGGGCTTTTTAACCAGGAAATATGAAAAGTTCATGAAACTACCAGCACACTGTAAGATGGGTGCCTGCAATGCACAGTGTTTTTACTTTAATGCAACAAATCCTGTTTAAAAACTGACTATTTTGATATAGTCCACAACCTAATTATTTCAAGAAGCTTGACAAAAAGCATGGTGTGTGATTCAGATACTACTGGATTATGACAAGTGGACAATTAAACACCAGATACACACAAAAAAGCAAAAAAAAAAAGGAAGGATAGGTATCGGTAAAAAAGGTATCTTATCACTAAGCACGTACACACTGGTTTTTCACTTGGCAGTAAGCCGTAACAGAACTCCACAAAAACCAAGCAAGACAGGACAGCCGAAGACTTCCACTTCAAACTAAAATTAATAAGACTGTGTTTGTCGAGGACCTTCAATGAGCACTGCTTTCAGTTCCCCCTAAAGCAAAACCCCTTAATCCTTCATTCACCCTTCATGAGTGTATGAAACATTAAAGACGCAAATCTTCCTGGACTTGGACCCGGGAACAATAAACTAAAGCTCGCAGTCTTGACTGACTTCGAATAAAAGGCAGCAGAGGCTGGGCCCTTGCCTCTCACATGACAGCCACCCCAGTTCCCTGCAATCCCACAACAAAGGCTCTTTGTGCAGCTCGTGCAGGTGGGACACAGAAGCCCCTGCTGGCTAAGAATACAATTCGGCCACGTAAACCGAAACTCAAACTTCCAGGTCTCTCTTCTCACATCCTCTCTCATGGACCACAGGTCCCCTTAAAAAAGATGCCTCTTCTCCAAATCCTGGTGGGATTGAGCGGACAGAGCCTCTACATGTGGGGGACACAGCGTCAAACTAACACACGCAGGCAGTAAAGATACAACTGTCGTGTCAGGATGGAAAAGTAAACGGTGATGCCACTTAAAACACAGTTTAATTACTGTCAGTGGAGAAAAAAAGGGCAACACTACAAGGGGAATAAAAATACTTTTTCTGCCT